GAAAGGGCAGAATACAGACTAGGCTGATACTGTGGGAACACCGATTCTCAATAATAATAATCCTTGCTTTTGATATAGCGTTTTTCACGTCTTCTAGATGTCTCAAAGCGCTTCACAGAATATTGCCAAACAAGGCACAATTTTAGGTAGTAAAATATTCTGAAATCAAAGCCAAGGTTTTTTTTTGTTTTTACATTGTGGAAAATATTAGTGAAATCCCAAGCCCTGAAGCAAGGCAGCTCTTATAAAACTCACAACCTGGACCTTCCTTCGTCTTGCTTCTTCAGGAAACTATTTTCACTGTTTGAGATCAACAATTCTTCACTCCTGTGTTAGTGAGATTATAAGGCGTTTAAACCGCACTCCTGCTTCACTACAGAATCCACAGCCACTGAACAGAATCCCATTCAGATCATCTCGCCCACTGAGCCTCTGCTAGTCACCAGGACAGACCAAAATGGTCACATTGGCGTCAGTAGAAACTTAGCACTAAAGTTCATCCTGAAACCTTCAAACACTAAGCTCCAGACTGGGACATTTTCTAAACAAATCCTCATTTCTCAAAGTGATTTTGTGAATCTCAAAACATTTTATGCTAAAGGTAAAGCTATCTGTGTAGAGTCAGTTTCTTAAATTTCAGCCCAAAAAATTACTTAACTTCTGAAACCAAAAACCAGTTCTGGCCTCACTGATTATAAACAATGCACGAATCTCCAATTCGCTTGCCAGTCTTTGGAGAAATTCACTTGAACGTTAGTAGATAAATGGTTGATCTCACGCTAATCTATGCAAACACTGGATGTTTAGACATAGCCTGGTGTATTTCACAGGAGGTCAGTTTACAAGATGAAGCTTGCATTGGGAAAGGAGAGCTTGGTCAGAGTCCCAAAAGTTCAGTTGCTGAGGCAATAGATCTCATCTCACTAGTCACAACACTCCACAAGTGAAGGAGGTCCTGGTGTCTCAGGGTGGGGGGCCCGGGGGGCAGAGGGTGGATGCAACAATTTGGTTAATCATACTTGTAATGTGATAAAGTGCTTCCACATTACGGTCCTGTAGCTCAGTGGTTAGAGCACCCACCTTGCAAGTGAGAGACCTGGGTTTGATTTCCAGCAGGGCGAAACCTTGGGCAAGTTTTCTTACTCCACACGCCTGATAATAATCCCTCAAGAAAAAATAATAATTTGGTGACTTCAATCCATGACTGTTTGTGGGACGCTGCTGTGTGCAATTGGCTGCCGCTTTTCGCCCACAAATATATAGGGCGAAACCTTGGGCAAGTTTCCTTACTCCACACGCCTAATAATAATCCCTCCAAAAAACCAAAAACAATAATTAAATTGGTCATTTTCAATCTACGACTGTTTGTGGGACATTGCTGTGCGCAATTGGCTGCCGCGTTCGCCCACAAATATACAGTCAATTCACTTTACAGTGTGTTCTGTGAAGCGCTTTGGGACGTCCTCCCGATGTGAAAAGCGCTATATCAAATGCAAGGATTATTATTATTAGGACACATCGGTGCTTTTTGAAACAGGCCAGAGCCCGCTGAGCAGAGGGTTAGAATGTCATTTGTCACTTTGACCAGGGCGGTTTCTGTGCTGTGGGTGGCACGGAAGCCTGATTGGAGGGGCTCGAGAAGGGAGTGACGGGAGAGGAAGGAGCGAAGCTGAGAAGCAACAACTCGTTCCAGGATCTTGGAGAGGAAGGGGAGGCTGGAGATGGGGCGGTAGTTAGGGAGTAGAGAATGGTCCAGGGAGGGTTTTTTTAACAATAGGAATGATGACAGTAAAGTGAATTAACCGTATTTTGTGAGCGAAATTCAGTAGACAATTGCACACAGCAGTGTCCCACAAATAGTCATGGATTGAGTGACTAGATTTTCTTAAAAAATTAATTATTTATTTTTTAAAAAAGGAATTATTACCCCTGGAAAAACGATCTGCCAGTTGACTTAAAACCAGGTTCCTACTTGCTGCTAGGTAAAGAGAGGTAAACAGAGGCATGTGGAGTAAGGAAACTCGCCCAACGTTTCGCCTTGCCCAGGAATCGAACCCAGGTCCTCTCACTTGCGAGATGAGTGCTTTAACCACTAAGCTGCAAATCAACCCTTTAACACAAACGTTTAGCAGTCCCCAACGTTGCCCTTCCCACAGGAGAGCAGGGCTCGGCTAGCAAAGGTACAATCTTACATTCAAAAATAGTAATAGCTAGGAACTTTTATTTCTCTTCAAAACTAAACCAGATGTTTCACATGTGGCCTTTACTCAGTCCAATAGACATCCCCAAAACATTTTTTTAAAATTAAATTGTGATGAAAAGGTTTATATTCATTTAAAGCCAACAGTCTCTTTTCCCCTCCTCCCCACCCCAATCATTGCATAACATCTCAAACAGAATCATGACCATCACGTGTGCCTGTTCAGCCCTAAATACAGATGGAAAGCAATAGCTGTGTGGAGGGGAAACACCACAAAAGGTGCAATGGTTTCAAATGAATTTGGAAAGATTACAACAGCTGGCAAAGGAACAAATGCAATTTAATGTGATTATAACTAAGTACAATAAGCTAAAGGTAATGCCAGAGGTGTGCAAAGAAGAACTACCTCTCATCTGTCCACAGATGCTTTGCATCAACTTCATAACTGACGGCAAAATCTATCTTCAGTACAAACACAGGGAAGCCCACAGAAGCCTCCAGGTCTCATCAGTGCCTCATCCATGATTATAGCCAATTTTTAAATCAGCTCATTCAGTATTAATCCACCACCCATTATCTTTTATCAAAAAGTGTCATCCACTAACTGAAATACTCTTGTGAAGGCTTCCAGTGAACCAATAAGGAACCCCAGATATAAATATATACATTTAAGGATTGGCCGGAGTTGAACAAATTGGTATTTGATATAGCGACTTTCATGTCAGAAGGACGTCTCAAAACACTGCACAGGATTTTACTGTAAAGCGCTGTGTCTGTGTGTTTTGTAGCTGTTGGATCTTTTCCTGGACGAGAGACAACTTTATTCAGCTCAACGTGCGTAAAACTGAGGCCCTCCTGCGTGGCTCGCGTCAGTGCCTCCACACCTCAGGCGCTGACAGCATCAGGATCCAAGGCTGCACTCTCCACCTCTCAAAGGCAAAGGCAGTCAGGACCTCGGTGTTCTGTTCGACCCTGAGCTGTCCTTTCTCCCTCATATCCGCGCCACAACTGGCACCGCCTTCCATCACCTCCGGAACATCGCCAGACTACGGCACTACCTCACCCCTCACGCGGCTGAAACTCTGGTCCACACCTTTATCACCTCAAGGCTGGACTATGGGAACTCTCTCCTCGCCGGCCTTCCCGCCACCTCCCTCCACACTGCAGGTCATTCAGAACTCTGCAGCTCGTGTACTGTCCCGCACCAGGCTTCGGGAACACATCACTCCCACCCTCGCTCCCCTCCACTGGCTCCCCATCCCCCAGAGGATCGAATTCAAGATCCTCATCCTCACCTACAAGGCCATTCACGGCCTTGCTCCCTCCTACCTCTCTGACCTACTATCCCCCTACCTACCTGCCCGTACCCTCCGTTCCTCTGGCTCCGGTCTGCTCCACATCCCCCACCCCCCCTACCATCGGTGGCCTTCAGCCTCGAGGCTCTGGAACTCTATCCCTCAGTGCCTTCGCCGCTTCCTCCCTTTCCTCCTTCAAGGCCGGTCTCAAGACCTTTCTCTTTGACCGTGCCTTCAGCTCCCCTCTCGACTCTCTACCCCTCCTCGCTCCCTCCCTCCCCTCCCCCTGACCATTTCCCCCCCTCGGGTCCTGACCCAACTGTACAGCGCCTTGGGACGTCCTCCCGACGTGAAAGGCGCTCTATAAATGGAATCTTGTTGTTGTTGTTTAATGTTCTCCTGAACAGGCAGATGGGGCTTCGGTTTAATCTCTCATCACCTCCATCAATGAAGCGCTGCACTGGCAGACTATATTATGTGAGTTCAAAGTCCCGATATGGGGCTTGAATCTTCGGAATCAGAGGAGAGAGTGCTATCGACTGAATAAGGTCGAATATCAGGACTGCACTATTCACCTTTTGGTCCACACGCTCAGTTCTAGGAAAATGTTAAACTTTTACCATTTTCTTGAGAGTTCTAGCGTGCCTCCGTCATTCCCTCAGGTCACACTTTGAGTTTCTTCAAAACACAAAGTTTGAGTCCACGGCACAGTCCCAGTTTAACTGGGTCTGAAATTTGTTTGGGAGCTTTATTTTGGAAACTAGACCACCAATCAATCTAAAAGTGTATTAAAATAAAACTGGAGAAATCCAACAATTAACAATGTTGAGGACTGCCTATATCTATTGAACAATTCCTTCATTGCAACAAAAGTTCATCAGGATCAGAGCTCAAACTCAATTCTAATCTTGAAAATAACAGGATAATCCATTTAGTGTCGGCCGCGGTTGAGAGTGGCTGTGAAAACCAAAAAAAATCTGGAATTGATTGAATCCCTCAATTTCGATTGTGTAATCAGGGATGTGCAAGAGAAAAACTCGCGGCTAAAAGCAGTCAACCAAAGCTGAAGATTAGGTTACTGCCCTCCAGTCACTATTTCTGAGATATAGAATTTGAATTAGATTGTTGGGGGGGAGGGGGGAAGGGGAGAGGGGGCGGCTTCTATTACCAACCCTGATTAGTGAGGCACAGACTCCCTGTGCACATCACCCCATCAATGTTTTGCCCACAAATATACAGTCAATTCACTTTACAGTATATTCTGTGAAGCGCTTTGAGACGTCTAGAAGACGTGAAAAGCGCTATATCAAATGTAAGGATTATTATTATTATAATGTCATACTATCCCAATCGAACCTTAACCAGAGCGGTTTGGTTACCAGTTGACCGAATAAACTTAAATTCTATAGTCCGTGTGCACTCCAAAGCCTTTCCAGTGATTCTGCCTCTGAAAGCACAGAGGAATGCATAACAAACACACAGCCAGCGGGCGATTGTTCACTTACTCTTTGGTCAATAACGGACATGATTTCAGCAGGAATCGGGCGAGCGGGGTATCCTGGAAGGTCAGCTGTGGGGAAGCAGTAGGGCTTTTCAGGTTTAGGCACCGGACAATGATGTACAGAACTGCAGCCACCGCAGCCAGCTTCATGCCATCAAACATAGCTGGCATTTCAGGAGCGATCCTGACACTCTCAGAGTCCGCCATGGTTACCTATAGGCATTGAAAGAAAAGTTATAATAATAATCCTTGTATCTGATACAGTGCCTTATCATCTTATTGAGACGTTTCAAAGTTTTTCACAGAATATACTGTAAAGTTGAGTGACTATATTTTGTGGGCAAAACAGTTGTGGGTCAAGTACAAAGAAATAGGACGAAAAGTAACAGAGATGAACCCACTGGTTGCTCAAGCAACACATGCGCAGTGTCACATGTAATACTAATAATAATAATCCTTGCATTTGATATAGCACTTTTCACGTCTTCTCGACCTCTCAAAGCGCTTCACAGGATAGACTGTAAAGTGAATTGACTGTACATTTGTGGATGAAATGAGGCAGCCAATTGCGCACAGCAGTGTCCCACAAACAGTCGTGCATTGAAATTACCAATTTATTATTATTTTTTTCTTGAGGGATTATTATCAGGTGTGTGGAGTAAGGAAACTTGCCCAAGGTTTCACCCTGCCGGGAATCGAACCCAGGTCTCTCAGGTGCAAAGCGAGTGCTCTAACCACTGAGCTACAGGATCCTGTAAGGCTAAACTACACACGACTGTACAGAATATACAGTGGGACCCCTTTTGGAACATGCTTATTTACGTGTTGTGGAAGCAGATACCAACATTCACTCAGTATAAATTTCAAAATGCTCATAGAAAGCAGCTTCAAAACACTGACCCATTTCTCTTGCGTTAAAAACTGGCCGCCTTCTGGATCATCAAGTTCATGTGCAACACTCAGAAAGTGACGGCATGATGACCCAATGGTTGCCGAACTGGACACCAGCTGCTCACTGGGATTTTATGGATCCCAATTACCTTGTTATACTGTATACTATATACACACACACATGCACAGAGAGACACAGAGAAAGACAAAGAAACACAGAGAGAGACACCGAAACACACTGTCAATCACAGACACGATATAGAAATAGAAATGGAGCTCGGCCACGATGCCCCCAACAACAAGCTGGATGCCAATATGCACCATCTCCTCACAACTTTTTGTTTGAGGTAATTTAGCAATCCATTTTGAAATTTATGCTTTAAGAGAAACGGGAAGTGAACAACTTACCGATTTGGGTTTTCAGCTAGCAGAATGAAAACTTCAGTCAGTCATCAGACGAGAGGAGAAAAGTCTGGGCAACCAGACTGAACTCACGGCCCTACCGCTCTGAAAGGAAATCAATGAAATAACTTAGGAACATTAAAACCTTATATAAAAAGACGTTTCGGCCAGTTTAAAACAGAGCAACAATGCCAATTAACAGAGTCCTGCGGCACCATACGTGCATAACAGTCCCACACAGCCTCGCCTCCCTCCCTACATATCAGGTTCTCAATCTGAACCCAGTGTCAGAGGGAGATGGAAAATAAGTGTAAAGTGCAATCACGCCACCACCCTTGGCACACACAGTGCCCTGGGAATGCCGTCGGCAATCAGAGCAGTTTACCTCACTCAACATCAACTGCTTTTAAAAATCTGCCCCAAAGCGCCCATACAATTCCAGTCGTGCAGTTTAAGAGAGGCGCAAACTATCACATGTATCACATCAAACCTGCATTAGCTAATAAACAGGGAGTTAAGAAATCAGACACATCACTGGTTAAAATATTCTTAAAATAAACTATCCAAAGTATCATAATGGTGTCCAATGTAAAATAAAATTAAGGAACCCCATGTGATAATTACAATGTGCAAAACGTCACTTGGTCCACGTCTGAACAAGTTGGAGAGTCACATCTGATGCCTCTGCGCTCCCTGAGTTGCTGTTTTGAAAACAAGTCTGCAAACAGCTGGGTCACTCCAACATTCAGCAACTTACATCCCTGATCTTTTAAAAAGCTATTGTAACTTCCATGAACAGATACTGTTGCTGGGAAATTCAAAGGGCAAACATTTCAAACACTTTTCATCTGGAAGCTAGAATTCTGCCAATCTTATCACTCATTTCCAAGCCAAATGTAATTAATAAGCAAATATTTCCAGTTCAGATTCCAACTCAGCAAATTCAAAGAATCTTGTATTTACAGATATGTACTCAACTGTAAATAGGGGAAGTGGGGGCGAGGAACATAAAACCCAGAAAATTTTACCACAGCTGGTAAAACTAAAGCTTACTAGTTCAAGCTGTAAATAATACATGAAAAATACTGGAGCAAGTGTATATTACAGCAGTCAGGGTGCGCAAGCGTGCGTGAGAGAGTTTTAGCTTTTTGCATGTCTTTGTGCCTTGTGTTTCATCATTCTCCAGGCTGGGGAACTCGGATTACACCAGACTACAGGAGGTTCACTCCTGCAGCTTATCGAAGGGATGAGTTACACCCTTGAAGCACTCCAACATGTGAGTTTCAAAACAGACTGGTAAAGAAACACACACCATAAACAATGCACATTTGTATGTGCATTGCATTATATATATATATATACACACACACAGTAAACTGATGAACCTGAGCAGAAGAGAGAAGCGTTTACTGTATAGCAAGCTGTCACTGTTTCTTGCCGCTGGCCGGTGACAAGAAGCCATAATCAAATCATGTAACTTGAATGGAGTATTGCAATAGTGAACGGCAGCACATCTTACACTGCACATGACATGGAACTGAACTCCCCGCAAAAGTATTATACAAACACCATCATTTACACATTTAAGATGCATACCATCTATTCTGAAAACTGCACAGAAACCAGCCTCAAAACAATCTGCAATATTTTCTCTGCCCAGAAAAATCCACAAGTCACACAAACCTCCTCTAAACATTTAGACAAGCCATTACAGAGCATTTCATGGCAATTTACAGCATAGAGGGAGGCCATTTGGGCCATCGAATCTGCACTTGCCTGCGCCCCCAGCACATCAGGATATCATCCTGTTCCACACCACCACATCGGCTCTTGTTTTATAAAAAGGCAATAACCAACAGTATTGACTGTTTTCCCGACATCCTTTGCACATGTCGATTAGTCCATGGCGGGATATACGTGTCCTCATCTCAAGCCTTTCTTGAAGCAGCAGCACCAGGCCATGAACCACATTGACAGCTCCAATCGGCTTTATTAAAGTTAGACCAATCCCGGAGGAGGCTGCGAATGATTGGAATCTACAACCAATGAAAGTCAGACCACAAGGGCAACAAGGTTTTTATTTGGCTACTGGACACAGGCCTATTGGCCGGGGAGGGGGTTGTTGTGTGCCTCCATTGTGCTCTGGGAGCTGCAGTGTTATTCACAACTGGCAATACCCACGGGAATCCGAAGCTAAAATAGTCCTGTGAACAGACACTACCCGTGTGCCACAACTCCCAAAGTGCACACGTGATCCAAGGCAACACCACACCATCACAAGAGGCAGCTCCATTACAGCAGCTGCACCTTCACAATACGCACAAACGCACCTCTGCACTGCCAACACATCTCCCTCCATTTATTCTGATCAACTCCAGGCTCGTTAGTTAACTGTTTACATTTTATTTAATCAAATGAAAATGGAGTGCGGAGGGGTTAAGCTGAGGAATGCTTCTTCACTAACAGATCCTCAGATTACCTAAAGTCAAAACTTAGTTACTGAATATCCATAAATCATTAAAGATAAATAGTACCACAGAAACCTACTGAAACCCGCACCTCCACCCAGTCAATCCTACACTCAGAGAGAGCTTCAGTGGTCAAAATGGTAATAGTCAGGGAAGAGAAGCTTCCTGGTGTATTAATGTATTTGAGGATCTAGCACTCATGTTGAGAAGGTCTGTCCAAATCAAAACTTCTATTTCACAATTTATAACATGATTCATTACTAGACATCTTGCAGGATCTTGCAACATTATTCAGATAATACTCCACGTAATAAATGGAGGCCAATAAATGGAGCTCGTTATCAGAATGTTTTTCAAATAAACTTGCAGTAACAAAGATGAACAATTCTAATTCTAGAGCAAATGCAGTCAGACAACCACATTAGCACAAAAAGACACAAATTAATAAAGCTAGCCCAAAACTTTTACAGAATATATCCTGGATAATGCTGAAGTTACAGACTTTATCGTTGCTTCCACACTTTAAGAATTTCCAGAGCTTCTTTAATCTGAATCCACGCCCTGTGCTGTATATTTCCAAGTACAATTCTTAGATAAAACTTACAGTAAACAAGTCATGCTCACAAGCAACACAGAAGACATGGAATGACGTGCTAATGGTAAACACGGGAAAAATACTGAAAACAGACACCAGTGATCCATTACATGACTGAAACCTAATCTCCAGGGTCACACAACCATTCTGAACTGCTCTGGCTGTATTTTATCAGACCAGCAGAACTGATCGTCTGACAGGAAAAACTCAAATGATACCCAAGCAAAAGGTTTTTAAACAAAGAGTTGAGGCCGAATCTATGAAGTAAATTGAGTACATGAGTGTAAAATTAACGAGCGAGGCCAGCGATGAATAAAGACATTCTTCCCTTCTCCTCTCCTGAAACATCATGAAGACTGGAAGAAGGAAGCAAGGGAGGGGGCAAGTTGGAGGAACTACAGAATGAAGTTCCAGAATGACTACTGATGTTTTGCAATGTTAACAAGCACAAAAGCAAATATCAGGGCAGGACGCGTGTCAAGGTTCGAAAGACACTGACAACTAACTGCAAGAGCAAAGTCCAAGCGTTTCTCTCATCACCTGAGAGGATTACTGCCTTCCAAGCTGCACTAACACTCTGCCCTTGAAGGCCAAGGACAACCCAAGTCCCCTCTTCTCCATCACCAACCGGCTCATCAGCCCATCCTCTCACGCCTTGCTCATCCACTCCTCCAACGCCAACTGCGAGGAGATGCTGGACTTCCTTGAAAACAAAGTTGAGGGGATCCACCCTTCTGACCTCCGCCCATCCGACCTCTCGCCCTCCTGACCATCGCCCCCTCCCCAACTCCCCGGCCCCTACACGTCCCTCCATCCACACCTCAAAACTGTCTCCCCCTCCTCTCTCATCACCACCACAACTCACATGAAACCGGCCACCTTCTCCAGCGACCCCATCCCTACCCCTCTCCTTATCTTCCAGCTTCACCTCCTTGCCCCTCTACTCTACTCATAAACCTCTCCCTGTCTACAGGCACCGTTTCCACCCCTCTAAAAATGAGTGTCTTCATGCCTATTCTTAAAAAAATGTCCCTGGACCCATCCCTACTCTCAAACTACCGCCTCATCTCCAACCTCCCTTTCCAAGTTCCTGGAATGAGTCATTGCTTCCTGGCTTCGCTCCTTCGTCTCCCACAACTCCCTTCACGAAACCCCTCGAATCGGGTTTTGGTGCAGCCCACAGCACAGAAATAGCTTTGGTCAAAGTGACAACTTTGTCCATCTGCAAACAGGGCTTCCTTGTCCTCTCTGCTGCCTTCAATTCCATTAACAACTCTATCCTCCTCTACCGCCTCTCCTCTCACCTCAACCTTCATGGTTCTGTCCATGAATGGTTCAGATCCTAACTCTCACACCGTCTCCACTTCATTTCCACAAACAGCTTCTCCTCTAGTCCCATCTCGTGTGGAGTTCCTCAGGGCTCTGTCCTTGGTCCCCTCCTTTTCTATAAGCTCACTCTTGGTGGCATCATCTGCAGACATTGGGTCAATTTTCACACGTACGCAGATGACATCCAACTCTATCTCTCTTGCCTCTACCCTTGACTCCAGGACCACTGTTGTCCTGACAGAATGCCTGTCAGACATCAAGTCCTGGATAAGAGCTAACTTTATACAGTTGAACGTCAACAAGACCGAGGCTCTCCTGATTGGCTCCCATCGGCACCTCCATACCTCAGGCGCCGACAGCATCACCATACAAGGATGCACACTCCCCCTCACTAAGCTCCATGTCTCCCACCCTACCATCGGTGGCCGGGCTTTCAGTCTCTCTGCCCCCACACTCTGGAACTCCATCCCACGGTCCCTTCGCCTCGCTTCCTCCCTCGCCTCCTTCAAGGCCGGTCTCAAGACCCTTCTCTTCGACCGTGTCTTTGGTCTCCCTCCCATCTCTCTGCCTTCCCTCACCCCTACACCACCCATCCCCCATGCTCGGGCCCCGACACCTGACTGTTCAGCGCTTTGGGATGTCCTCCCGATGTGAAAGGCGCTCTATAAATGTAATTTTGTTGTTGTTGTAGGGAATCATGGCATCTTGTTTGACCCTCAACTATCCTTTCTACCCCACATCCATACCATGTCCTGCCCTAACTTCCCCCACCTCTCCCAGGTTCGCTACTGTCTCACACCACAGGCCGCCGAGATACTCATACACACATTCATAATATCCAGGCTTGACTACGCAAACTCCCTGCTTATTGGCCTCGCCAACTCCTCCTTCCATAGGCTACAGATCATCCAGAACTCTATAGCCCCTGTCCTCTCCCACACCAGACTCCGCGACTCCATCACCCCCATCCTCGCCCGACTCTACTGGCTTCCCAACACACAGAGGATGCAGCTCAAGATCCTGGTCCTCACCTTCAAAGCCCTCCATGGGCTCGCTCGCCCCCTACCTCTGCGACCTTCTAGCCCCCTACCAACCTGCCTGCTCCCTCCGCTCAGCGGGCTCCGACCTGCTTCACTTCACCATTGGCGGGCGGGCGGGCCTTCTGCCACTCTGGAACTCCATCCCATAGCTCCTCCGACTCGCCCCCTCCCATGGCTCTTTCCAAGACCCGTCTCAAGAGCCTCCTCTTCGACGGTGGCTTCAGCCACCCTCCTTCCCTCCCCTCCCCCCTCTGCTCTCCACGCTCCTCGGTGCCGACCCCCAGCTCGGGGTCGGATTGCCCCAGCGCCGCCCGATGTGAGAGGCGCATCCATAAAACGTAATGTCGTGGTTGTCGCCCTACTGACCGCACCGGAATTCCTTAGGTACCGCGGGAGCCACAGCACATCCGCTAAATGGCGGCAGATCCTGAATTGGCTTCGCAAAACTTTTCGAGGTGTGGGGGGTGGGGGGGGGAGGGGGGGGACAAAAAACAAGTCAAGAACGGGGTCCCTCCCTCCATTGAAGTTTTATGCCCCATTCTTCACTGGAATGTGGCATCGGGTGAGTCCCTAACGTGGCACCATCCGAGGCCGACTTGGCGCTGCCTTGACCTGTACACGAGCACCGGCTGTGTGGGTGTGTTTAGGTCAAGGCGGCGTCCAGACAGGGAAGGGGTTGGGGGGGACACAGGAGGAGGTGATGGTCGGGGTTCAGGGCCGGAGCCGTGGGAGGGGCCGGGCAGTGGCTTCAGGGACGACTCCCTGCCCTCAGAGCGGACCTGAGGCCGCGGCCAGAGAGGAGAAGCTCCAGCCTCACCTGCGAGAGAAGCGGCGGCGCGTCAGCTCCAAACCCACCTGAGGGCGATGCTCGCGGGTCGGCCTCACGCTCAGGGCCGCGCTCCTGCCCAGGCAACCACTCGCTCTGCCAACGCTCGCAGCCCATTGGCCGGCGCCCGCCCCTCGCTGCTCGAATGCGCACTCCTATTGGTCTCCTGACGCGTCAATCCGCTGCGATCACCCTGGCAACAGCCCGCCCTCTCAGCCTATTGGTCAGGGGATGAGAGATGTACTGCGCCCACCGCTTCAACTCCGCACTCCTATTGGTCTCCTCCCGCATCAATCATCACACCGCGCCACGTCACAGACCGACATCCCGCCCTCACCGCCCAGATACTGGCGCTGATTCGCCCGCCTGTCGCCAGGGAGACAGTGATGATTGACAGCCTTTCTAACCATTGAGATGCCTGCTAACGGGCAACCTCTCTGCCCAAGCTGTGAGCCCACCATGAGGACCACAGACTGTCACCAGGGCTCAGGCTGGGGATGAGATGCCATTCCTGAGCCTTTTATGCATAGTCATTACAACAGCAACTTGCATTTGTACAGGGCCCGGAGCGCTTCAAAGTGAATGGCCAATTTTATCTGGAGCATTGTCCATAGCCTCGGGGCGTCCCCCCGACGTGAAAGGCCCTTATATACGAATATAATTTGTTGTTGTTGAGCTTCCATCTGTGCTTCCAAGCAGTTATTAAAGATCTCGTGACACTCTTGGTAAAGAGAAGGGAGTTTGTCTTTGTCAACAATGCTCCAGATAACATTGGTCATGCACAATGACTATGCACAAATAGCTGCCCTGTTTGCCTTCAAATACTCGGTCACTACACTTGACATCAATTACCTATGAAATGTTTTTGAGATGTTTCAACGGTATCAACTGCAAGGATTATTATTATTATTGTAACGAGCGCTTGTGTTCTGAAGCAGATTGTGTCTGGCTGAATTTCTGGGATTTAGGCAAAGGATTAACTGTCACAGGAAAGTAATGCCACAAAGAGCATTTTAACTGCGGTTGATGCAAATGAACGTAAAGCTGATCGAAAATTGTTTGAAGCCAAGAATAATAATTGCTAAAAAACGGAATTGTTTTCTAGCAGTGCAAAGTATTCGGAACAGATTGCAATCTGGAGCTGAGGAAAGCTTTAGGCAGGCTGGTGTTAATGATAATGAACCTTATATTTGATAATAGAGCCTTATCACATCATTGTAACATCTCAAAGCACTTCACAGAATTTTAACTGTGAAGTGTAGTGATCATGTATTTATAAACAAACACAGCAACCAATTTTTGTACAGGAGGTTGTGTCTGGTGTAATGTAACTAACGATTTATTATGGAATACAGGTTGGCATCTATTTATTCAGCTTTATCAACTTGTGACCGTATTTTCTGCCAATTCTCAGGGAATCATTGTGTTAGTGCAGTGCAGAGCATTGGGATCCATGAGCTGAATTCCATGTTTGGGCCACAGATCAAAAACCTAATATCCTGTGACCCACCAGAGAAATACATCTTTGAATTTCGGAGATCACTGGGGGAGAGTGGGGTGATAATGTGATCAGTCGCATGTTGATTGGTGTTTGGCTTCAATAGGACTGTTGGACTGTTCGCTTTCAAATTCCCATGAAATTACCCAGATTTATTTCACACAAAGCCTTACAGCTCGAGACAATATTTCCTTTAACCTTCTCTCTTTGTTTCCAAATGCTTGTATAATAATCACCACTTTGAAGTCAAGGGTGGCGGGGAGAATAAGAATGTGTTCTCAGTCTCAGTAACAGGGATTGCTCGGATCAAATGATCAGATGTTTGTCTGTGCTAGGCATAAACAGAAACCAAAATAAAAGATAAAAGAGACACCTAATTAATATACAAAGGCACAAACCTGAGAGAATGTGAACCGGCAGCTGCCAGAGTTACTGAGCAAAGAGCTGGAGTGAGGCAGCGATGACTGCACTGACGGGGCTCTGCACAAGGTGTCAGTCAGGGGCTAAGCAATCTCCCAGGACAAATAGCCATTTATATTTAATAAGGGACTTGCTACCAAGCAAACCTGAAGATATATTACAGCAAAGATCAGGCAGCATCTGTGGAGAGAGGAAAGTGAGTTAACATTTCAGGTCAATGACATTTTGTCAGAACTTTTTATTACACACACACAGTTATAGACACAGACAGACAGTCACAGGCGCACACAGTCACAGACACACACAGATCAAGAAGACAGGAGTAGATATTCAAAATCAATTGTAAACTGTTTCATTGTAAAAGATAAAAAGAAAATGATGAAATAATTGGATTCTCACCAGAGGGAGAGGAAATACTCCGAGCGATGGGAACTGGTGCTGGAATGCGTACAGGAGTGATTATATAAACAGTGCCTTTCCCAACATTCAGCGGGGGAAGCAGCACGGGGAGAATCTAATCATGGTTGTTACCATACAAATTACAAGGAAGCCTGGCTTTCGGCATTTTAGTTACGGCACTGAAAATAACCATCCCGTCAGAAAAGAAAGGACTCACATACAGCGCCTTACAGCAAAGGCACTATATCAATGAAATTTGATGTTGTTCTTGCTGTCTCCACAATTATTATTGCCAAGTGTAGCAACTGCATGATAAGGTGCTATATCAAATACAAGTACTATTACTAGTATTATTAACTAGGCAAAGTTCCTCTACAGCAGCATCATCATAGACATATTGTCTTTAGGAGAGAATTATTCTGACAAATTGGGGAAAAGCTGTGGCCCAGGTCAGTCCTCTGTCTGCTGGGTATGGGTGGGGGATTGGGGGGTGAGAGCCCCAGCGAGTGAGACCCTGAGCAATGTGCCTTGTGATGCTGGCTCAGTACAAATCAATAAAGGCAACTTGTAAGTCACCACCGAGCAAAATAGATCCAATGTTACTGTCTAGCTGAAGCTATGTTTAGTTTTTGGCAGGACACAGGAAGCATAAACAGGAAGATGACTACAGCTGTACCGCAACAGTTTGGTAAAAAAAATCAGGAGATTCCAGCTTGTTCCTCCCTCTCAATCACTGCTCACTCCACGTGTAATTAGCAAGATTAATAGGTGGCACCAGTAATAATTACCAGCACTATGTAGTTCTGACATGTTTAGCAGCCTCGCTAACACTGGCCAGCGTGCAGGCCTGGGCAGAGCCACCTCAATCTCCTCTTAAGCCATTGACTGCTGGCTGTGAGCTATTTGCCCACTGTAAGTTTGAACAATAATTACAGTAAAAAGAGACAGTGTAGAGCTGACCCTTACTGAAAGATTATCACAGAGCCAACTGTGCAGGGTTGCAGCTATAATCAACCTCATATAGACCTACAGCTTATGGGTATTATTTGAGAATATTTTATCTCAGTTGGTAATACGCTCGCCTCATAGAAAGCCAATGTGATGAGGGAACTCGATGAGATTGATCACCCTGTACCTTGCCTTGGAGACTCTTAAGCATGTTGATGGGTTTCATCATGTGTCAGACAGCTGGCTGACCAAAAAGAATAAAATAACATGTCTTTATCATGAATAAAGGAATCTGTAAGTGGTACAAGGACCAAGCTGGGAATCTGGTTACCTGGGCCGACAGGCATGTAATCAACTCCCACAAGAAACCAGCGATAGTGATCAGGTGCCCAGCAGGAGGTGGTCAAGTGCCCAGTGGGTGGAGATCAGGTGGCCAGTGGGTGGAGGTCAGGTGCTCAGTGGGTAGAGATCAGATGCTCAGTGGGTGGTAGCTTTGGAACATGGGTTAAAAGGGAAAAGTGCCCAGAGAGCAGGGAATGGTTTTGCCACCCAATCACTTTCAGGCTGTGTTAGTGTGGAGCAGAGGGCAGGTCAGGGCCTGGGTCAGCTGGTTTGCACACTGTGTCCTTTTCTCTCTATGTAGAAGCTGAAAGACGGTTTGTTCCTCTTGGAATTGGTGCTTCATTGTGAGCTCAGCATCTCGGCCCCAGGGAACAGGCTTTCACAGCCTCTCTGTAAGCTCATACACTCCAGCAGGAAGGCTCTCTCCAGTGAAGCCCTTTCATTTTATAGCAAGCTTTCCATTGCTTTGGACAGCCTGACTTTATTGTCTTCTTTTTTTAGCTCTTTAACAAGTAACTTTAATGTCCTCTTTGCCAGCAGGAGATGGTGGGTGAGAGCAGACGCCATCCTGTAGTGGTTACTGTGCTTACAGAAGCCACAGTCAGTGTGGGCTAAATAGACGGTTAGTTCAGGGGAGCGGTGGACAGCATTCACGGAGGGAGGGAGGGAGGGAGGGCGTGAGTGAGTGAGGGAGGGAGTTAACGACTGACAGCAGCTCCACACTGCCTGGAGACCAGTGATTGATCAATAATCAATACCAGATGCTTTTCCACCCTCACTCTGGTCCAGGGCTGACCTTCACTATGACACACACAGACACACAAACATACTATAAATATTGTGCTACAGTTACTGTAGTTGCTATAAATGTCCAGGCAGGAAGCACAGCCGATGATGCGAGCTCGCCTGCCACGGATGGGGGAAAGATGGTTGAAACTGTTACTCTGCTCCTCCATCAGCCTCAGAAAGTCAGCTAGAAGCGAGAGGGGTGGGAAGCGTGCTTTGCTCGTTCTCTGTTTTTGTTTGGCTGTGCAAAATAAATGTAATATATTAAATTATATTATTGATAAAAGAACAGAGTGTGTCTGTCTGTGCAATCTTCCCCAGAGACAGACTGTTCTCCATGCCTGAGGCAGATAACAGTGAGATACTGCTCGTCACCCACATCATTATACTGTACGCTGATGCCTTTGTGAGTATTTTGGGACTTTGAGTAATTTTCATGTAATAAGTTTCTATAAAAGTGCAAGTTCTGTTCTTCTCTTGGCAAAGAGGTCGGAATCACAGGAGCAGAGTCATATTGGGCCCATCTTCCTCTCTCACACACAAACACAGCACTTTCAGCTGTTATTCACCAGCTCTCTCTCCCCTCCCTCCATATCACTTACACTCTCACAGCGGCCATATTACCAATATACAATTGTTTAAGATCCTGGTCTGAATGTCCAGGTTTTGCTTCTGTGTATGTTTGTCAGGTATCATGCTGGGCCACTCAGCCCTCGCTTATACCCAAACCCCTCATCAAATCCTTGGCTTCTGCCTGTTAACAACAACAACTTGCATTTATTTAGCGCCCCTCCCACAAGGGAGCGCCCCAACATTGATGGGCTAAGGCTCTTTCCAGTAGACACCCCATCGGACCAAACCCTCATCTGTGATCAGACCAAACCCTCGATCAATCATCCTGTACCAGGAGGCCACAGGCAATGATCCCACAGCGAGTGTATAATAACACAGATTGGCCTGATGTCACAAGGCACAGTGTTACAACACACAGTAATGAGGGAAGGCTGAAAACCCAATGTCTTACACAAATCAGGAATTGAGGCCTTTGTGACCGCTTTCATTTCGCTTATTAAATGAGGGAATGTGTATCGGAATTCGCTAAAGATCAGGCAACAGCTGTGATCCCGAGAGTTGACCAAGCTCGATCGCTCACTGATGTTTCCTCATTTGGACTTGTCATGCCTTTTCCCGCCTCAGAACAAATTGACAGCCACAGTGACCACCTCATGGTTTGCAAACAGCGCATTCCTACCTGGAGCTACCCTTCCTCAAACCAGTATCTGTCAGGCTTCAGCTGGGGTTACAGACTATTACAGTGTCACGCAGCTCCATCCCTCCCGCTTAGCCAGCTCTCTACAATCACACGCAATGTTTTCACAATTAGTGGAAGGAACTTAGATATTATAACTTTGGTTTGGAACTCTGGCTGGAAAGTCCTGGTATTTTGGAGTGGGAAATGACTGTGTATTACTGCTCACTCAGGATAACACTCTCACCGCAGACCTGAGCAGACCACATGAATCACTCCCCACTGTCACGTAGCAAACTTTCTCTGTCTCCTCCTTTCTTTCTTTCCGCTCGTACTTTCTCTCCTCATTCTCTCTCTGTTCCTTTTATTTCTCTTATTCTTACATTCTCACTTGCTCTCTCTCTCTTTTCTACAAGCAAAATCCCTAACAGATTGGAGTGTGGGGCCCTATCACTCTCTCTCACTCACAATGACAGCAGCCTGTTTCACCATTCAATTTTATCATGGCTGAGGTACCTCAACCCCATTTACCTGCCTTTTCTCCATATTCCTTGATATCCTTACCTTGCAAACATCCATGGCTGTCGGCCACCAGTAGAGAAACTGCCTCCGTTTTTGAATATTGTCACAGGATCCTTTAACGTCCACCTAAACAGGGCAGAGAGAGGACCTTCGTTTAGCATCTCATCCAATGGACATTGTTTCTGACAATGTGGTGCTCCCCCAGCACTGCACTGGAGCATCAGCCTGGACTGTCTTAGATTCCCTAAAGTGGGGCTCAAACCCTCCTGACTCAAAGGCCAGAGAGTGCTATTCACTGACTGAGCCAGGCTGACACCTAAATGGGTAATGGGGTGCACTGAAGAGGGGAATCCACCGCCACAACACTCACTCCCAGGGACAAAAGAAGCCTCCACTGTGTACTGTGTGAGCGCGGAAAGCTTGCAGAGGGAGGGGAACTGTGGGCAGGGTGAGGTGCCATGGGCTCAGGCAGTGCTGACTCAGGGAGCGCTGAGCTGGGCTGGAGCCAGAGACAGAGCCACAGGCAGTGATGTGAGTCAGGCTGATTGTGTAATTGGACACAGGGCAGAGCACGTGTGCTCTCAGCGTCTCTCTGACAGCACAGCCCAGTCTGTTACACACAGCGCTTCTCTGACAGCATAGCCTGGCTGTTATGCACAAACCTGCTCTGAGCAAACATGAGGAACTTCATCGCGACTCTTCTCCTCACTTCCTCGCTGGCCTTGGTAACACAAGGTAAGAGCTGTCAATATTCCTGGGTCCAGTAGCTCCTCTCTGTGTGTCTGCTCTGAGAGACGGGCTGTGATTTTACTGGGAGGAGGGGGAGGGGGGGCAGGTTCTCCCTTTCAGATCTGAGTTACTCCCAAACATACCATTTCTATTAAGATTTCCTCCATTCTGTCTCTCCCTCACTCTCCGCTCCTTTACAGTCTTATCCCAACAGCAAGAGACAGATTAGATCATTTGACAAACTGCTGATGAAAACAAGCTGAAAATAGCAGCCGAGAGAGATAGAAAAAGAAAAAGAGACTGAGGGAGTGAGTGAGAGACTGAGAGTGAGGCAGAGAGAGAGACTGAGAGAGAAAGAGAGAGTCAAGGAGAATTAGAGAAAGAGAGACAAAGTGAGACTGAGAAAGAGACAGAAAGAGTGACAATTATTATTGTCTCTCGTTTTGTGTTGAGTTTTCCAATGCAGCACACACACACGCAAGCACACAGAGACAACATACACACACACACACACACACACACAAGCACACAAAGACAACACACACACACAAGCACACAAGACAACACACACACAAGCACACAAGACAACACACACGCGCACACAAGACAACACACACGCGCACACAAGACAACACACACACACACACAAGCACACAAGACAACACACAAGTGCACACAAGACAACACACAAGTGCACACAAGACAACACACACACACACACAAGACAACACACCACACACACACAAGCACACAGAGACAACATACACACACACAAGCACACAGAGACAACATACACACACACACACACACAAGCACACAGAGACAACACACACACACAAGCACACAGAGACAACATACACACACACACACACAAGCACACAGAGACAACATACACACACACACACAAGCACACAGAGACAACACACACACACAAGCACACAGAGACAACACACACACACACACACACACAAGCACACAGAGACAACACACACACACACAAGCACACAGAGACAACATACACACACACAAGCACACAGAGACAACACACACACACAAGTACACAGAGACAACACACACACACACACACAAGCACACAGAGACAACATACACACACACACACAAGCACACAGAGACAACACACACACACAAGTACACAGAGACAACACACACACACACACACACAAGCACACAGAGACAACACACACAAGCACACACACAAGCACACAGAGACAACACACACACACAAGCACACAGAGACAACACACACACACAAGCACACAGAGACAACACACACACACACACACAGACACACAAGCACACAGAGACAACACACACCCACAGACATCACACACAGCAACAAAACACAGGCAGACAGAGAGAGCCACACATGCAGAGATACACAAGCCGTTGCTGTGAAGTGATTATGTGTAAGGATTTAGTCTATATAAAGTTGTTAAGCTGCAAATACAGCTCTGCCCTTTGCCAGTTGACGGCACATAGAGAGCTTTGAGGAGCCGGGGATCAGGGATTTGTGGAACCCAAAGCTTCCAGTTGTCTCTGAAATCTTACAGGTTTAACTAGTATAACTGGCTAGGGTATGAACTTAGTTGATGAATGGAGTTTGTTGCTATATTGAAAATAATGTTGTGTTAGGATTGTACACCTATACACACACCCGGGGTGTGTCTGGGTGTGTGGTTGTGAATGGATGTGCGGTGGGAGAGATCCGTAGCCTCTTGGGAACTGGATCAGGCACTTTAAAGGGTTATGTTCTGTGCAGTGAGGTTCTGTATTTCATTAGGAATCTGCATTGACCACATGAAATGCAGTCAGCGAATTGCCGCAAGCGAGACCATTGTTAACCCTACATTACCAGCTGGGAGCGGGTACAACTTGCCCATTGACAGGCCAGTGTGGGGGGGGTACCTATTAAAGCCCAGGTGTGACCTAATGTTCAGTGCATCTCTGGTGCCAGCCCATCGCCACCGTGACGGGTGGGTCAGGTCCTGGGGGAAGATCCGTGCTGCAGCATAAGGGGATTAGTTATAAAACGTGAGTGAAGCTTGTGACTAAATACTGCCGATCCATTTTGCCTACAAATACGGTTCTGGCTGGAGTCCTGTACCGTAGTGGTTAGAGCGCTCGCCTCACAAGTGAGAGGACCAAGGTTCAATTCCCCTGCAGGGCGAAACCTTAGGCAAGTTTCCTTACTCCACACACCTCTGTTTATCTAGGGGGAAGGAGGAACCCGGTTGTAAGTCGATTGGCTGGGCACTTTTCCGAGGTTCATAATCCATATATTTATAATAATATATCCCTATTATTATTATAATAATAATAATTTGGTGATTCAATCCACAACTGTTTGTGGGACACCTCTGTGTGCAATTGGCTGCCGCGTTTTGCCCACAAAATATACAGTCAATTCACTTTACAGTATATTCTGTGAAGCGCTTTGAGATGTCTCAAAGATGTGATAAAATGCTATATCAAATACAAGGATTATTATATAACGCAAGGCTACCTATACGGACACACACGGACCCACGTCCTCAAGTTAGTTATTGTGCAGCTCGGTGCTTGGCCCTGCTACGGCTCAGGAATTAGATAAAAACAAACCAGTTTCCCAATGCTGCTGCTGCTGCCTTCCTCTGCAGTGGTGCATGTGTGTGTCTCCTGGCTCCAGGGTGTCTGTGCTCCAACACACTCGAATGAGACGCTCCAGCGGAGTGCTGGGGGGAGCGCTGTTTCTGTTCGGGTGGACAGTTAAGATCGTATGGGACAAACTGAAAAAGGAAGAGGGTTTCTCTTCCCCCTGTGTCCTGGCCGACAAATCCCAGACAACATCGGTAATCACTTCAAGGTTGTTTGCGTGCAAATTAGCTGCGGTGTCTACCTACAAATTACTCAGTCACTACACAATGCATTCTGTGTGGGAAACGGGGCGCACTTTACATGTGCTGGGCACACGCCTTCCTTTGTTTGCAGTAGGTCCTGAGCCACATGTGGGATTTGGGGCGAGCGTGTGTCTCACGGTTCATGCTGACTGATGTCTCAGGCATTCCTTATCGTGGTGTTCAGTTTCCAGCTATTAACTCCGAGAAATTCAGTGTCTTCAGGCCATTTCATTCTCAAATTGAAAAAATAAATAACAATTCTGACATCTGATCACAGCGCTGGTCACAAGGGGAGGTGTCTCTAACTGTGAAGTGTTTGCTATGAAGTGCAGTGACTGTGTATTTTGAAGACAAACACGGCAGCCAACTTTCGCACAGCAACGTGCCCGCAAACAGCTCAAGTCCTATTTATAATAATAATAATAATCCTTGCATTTGATATAGCGCTTTTCACGTCGGGAGGACGTCCCACAGCGCTTCACAGAACACACTGTAAAGTGAATTGACTGTATATTTGTGGGTGAACGCAGCAGCCAATTGCGCACAGCAATGTCCCACAAACAGTCGTTGATTGAAAATGACCAATTTATTATTGTTTTTGGTTTTGGAGGGATTATTATTAGGCTCTGTGTGGAGTAAGGAAACTTGCCCGAGGTTTCGCCCTCTGCCTGGAATTCAACCCAGGTCTCTCGTTTGCAAAGCGAGTGCTCTAACCACTGAGCTACAGGACTCCATTGCGAGATTGCGGACTACATTCCGTATGAGGGAAGACTTGCTTTACAGTGCTCTGAGGCGCCATCCTGTGTGAAGGGCGCTAGATAACTACAAGTCGTTGTTGTCACTGATTTCACCTCTTACCTGTTGCTACAGGTGAACCCTGTCACTCTGAACCCTGCCAGAACGGAGGGACGTGTCTGACGGGAGTCACGACTGACCCCTATTATTGTGTGTGTCCCGAAGGATTCACCGGCAGCCAATGCAACGAAACAGAAGAAGGTAGGAGTTCACCCCCCGCCAATGCCACCCCACCAAAACACATCAACTCCAAACCCCTCTCCCCCCCACACACATCAAATCCAACCCCATCTCCCAGCCACCACCCACACACACACATCAACTCCAACCCCCTCTCCCCCGCCCCCCTCACACACACACACACACACACACACACAATCTCCCCACTTTTAGGAGTGAGTGAGACTGTGTGGAGTGTGTTGCCGACAGTGGTCTCTGGTCTCTGGCTGACAGGCCGGTGACCATGACGGTGTGTGTATCAGAGAAGCTCTGATCTTGGTCGGGGGCGGAGCCAGGCATGTGATCCACCATCTTGTTCTTCGAGACTTTCGCAGGAAGTTCCTTTGCACCACTTCCTACGGTGACTAAAATGAGTGAGCGTCTGTGACCCCCCAACACCCCCGACCCCACCTGTTCTCTTAACATCGTGTATTGATGCAATCACAACAGGAAGTGGTTCAGAGGAACAGCCCTGGTACAACGTGGAAGACACAAGGTATAACGATGGCAGGCGTGGCTCTGCGTCCACAGGTAAGCGTTGACTCATGGATGGGGGGGTGAGGCTGTGGGTCTCAGACCTCTCACTGATTTTCCTGCGGCTCCTGGGGTTCACAGACAGTCCGGAGACCCTGGAAAATTGGACTTTTTTTAGTGTCACTGAAAAGAGTTGTTTGCCCCACACACACCCCGACTGCTTCCCACTGACAGTGATGACCGGTGTGTTCCGCTGCCACCTCTAACCCCGGCTACTGGCAGCAAAACATGCTTTCAAAATGGCCTCCAGTCACGTGACTGTGCTCGACTTAGAGTAACTCAATCGCATGGCAATGCAATGGCTTCCTGCAGCTTGAGCTCTGGGATATTCCGGCACAATGCGTCTTTCACACACATCCATAGCCTGAGACCTGCCTCACACACACACACACACAGCCTGGGGCCTGCTCACACACACAGCCTGGGGCCTGCTCACACACACACACAGCCTGGGGCCTGCTCACACACACACACAGCCTGGGGCCTGCTCACACACACACACACAGCCTGGGGCCTGCTCATACACACACACACAGCGTGGGGCCTGCTCACACACACACACAGCCTGGGGCCTGCTCACACACACGCACAGCCTGGGGCCTGCTCACACACACACACAGCCTGGGGCCTGCTCACACACACACACAGCCTGGGGCCTGCTCATACACACACACACAGCCTGGGGCCTGCTCACACACACACAAACACACACACAGCCTGGGGCCTGCTCACACACAGCCTGGGGCTCACACACACACACACACACACACACACACACAGCCTGGGGCCTGCTCACACACACAGCCTGGGGCCTGCTCACACACACACACACCCACAGCCTGGGGCCTGCTCACACACAGCCTGGGGCCTGCCTTACACACACAGCCTGGGGCCTGCTCACGCACACACACAGCCTGGGGTCTGCCTTACACACACACATACACACAGCCTGGGGTCTGCCTTACTCACACAGACTCACACATTGAAATGCATGTGCACACAGGCTGCCCAATGCCCTCACGGGCCTCACTCCTCAGTTGCTTGTGTTGCAGGACCTTGTGTCCCAAACCCGTGTGAAAATGGCGGCGTGTGTGATGTGATCTCACTTCAGCGCAGGGGAGATGTCTTCAGTGAATACACCTGCAAATGTCCCGCTGGCTTCCAGGGTGTTCACTGTCAGACCAGTAAGTACTCACTTCGGGGGACAGGACACACAACATGCACACACACACAAATAGGCGAGTGGCTGTGGGGTAAGTCCTGGATGTGGTATCAGGAGGAAGGAAAGGTCCTGAGCCCTAAATGGGCAGCTGCCAAGCTGGTCCTCTGCACCTCGTGCTGGCTGGCAACAACAACAACTTGCATTTATAAAGTGCTCTTCACGCGGGGTAGCGTCCCGCAGCAGGGGCAGGGCTGAGGAGGGGGCTATGAGGAGGAGGATTATAGTAGGGGATTAGCAAAGCTTTGAATGGTGCGATGGAGTGTGTGAGGCCAACCCGGCTGGGGATGAAGTGCCCCAAGCTGACAACAGCAGCTCTCGTGTTGGTTTCTGGTGTTGGTTGCGAGCCGTGTCATTGTGAAGGCAGCACATGGGGCTCAGCAGTTCGAGGGTTTGCTTCTTGGTTGCCAGCTGGTGTTAGTGTATGGGATGGGGGGGTGTGGGGGAGCGAGGACCTGGGCAGCCTAACGAGATCTCAGGATCACTCAGTAGAAACCGCACAATGCAAATGTTCCTGGCATGCAGAGACCAATGTATTGACTAAAACCTCTCTCTTCAGATGTTAATGAGTGCTCCTCAGGGCCCTGCAGGAACGGCGGGATGTGCCTGGACCTGGAGGGCGATTACACCTGTAACTGCCCCTCCCCTTACTTGGGCAAAAGCTGCCACCTGAGTGAGTAGTCACTGTGTCTCACACACACCATCCCACTGACACTTACACAAAGCAGGACATCACATCATCTGTGGCCACCAAAGGCACCTTTCCCCCAAAACCCAGCCCCCCCCACCACCCTACCGAAAACATATTAAACCAGCCCCGCAACACTGGTCAACACAACCTGAACCTCTAAACATTGCACACCTCCCTCTCCGTGTGTGCCTCCTCTCTCCCATGCTCATGTACCGTAGTGACGTTGCTCCTGTTACAGAGTGCGACTCGGTGCTGGGGATGGAAGGAGGCTCCATCGAGGACACTCAGATCACCGCCTCCTCCGCACACCTGGGCTTCCTGGGACTGAAGCGCTGGCGGCCGGAACTGGCTCGACTCAACAACCAGGGCATGGTCAACGCCTGGAGCAAGGCCACCTTCGACCAGCAGCCCTGGATTCAGGTATTAACAGCAACTCAACAAACCAACCACCATCTCCTCATCGTTTTCACAAAGGGAAAGGCAAGAGGACAGGGAGAGGGTGTGGGTAAGGGGGTGTGGGGAGAGGGTGTGGGTAAGGGGTTGCGGGGAGACGGTGTGGCTATAGGCAGATGGTTGGGTGGACCTGACAGGGAATTGGTCCACATGATCGCTCAGGAGTGTTTCCACAGTGACTGGCTGTTAGCAGAACAATTGTGTATGCGTAATTATAGCAACAAACCAGCAATCATCTCTTCATCCACAGTCAGCCACAGTGTGAGTGGAGAAACAAGGGAGCAATGTGGCGTTCGGCTCAATTGGCAATCTCCCGGGTGGGGCGGTGGGGATCTGCTATTCCTTCGATGAAGGAAGCTGCCAACCACAGCATTGTTTGAAAAGAGAAGGAAGTTTCTCCCTCCCGGTGTCCTGCCTGAAAGGGTGGTGGAAGCCGATCCGATAACAGTTTTTAAGAGAGAAGTAGATAATTATTTGGAGAGGACAAGTTTGCAGGGCTATGGGGAGAGAGAGGGGGGAGTGGGGTTGAATTGGATAATCTTTTCAAAGAGCCAGCACAGACACTATGGGCCAAACGGCCTCCTTCTATGCTGTATAATTCTATGATTCTATGAATCCCGCAAAAGAAACTTGGTCACTCACTCCATGGCTGTTCGTGGGGCACTGCTGTGTGCAACTGGCTGCCACATTTCCCCCACAAAATACACAGTCTATCCCGTGAAGCATTGAGATGCCTTAACAACGTGATAAGGTACTGTATCAAATGCAAGGATTATTATTATTACTAACCACTCGCTGTATTTTCAGGTGGATTTGCTGAGGAAGATGCGTCTGACGGGGATAGTAACACAGGGCGCCTCGTGTGTGGGGACTCCCGAGTTTATCAAAATGTTCAAGATCGCTTATAGCTTGAACGGGGTCAAATTCACCATCTTCAAAGGCAGCAGCAAAAGCAAAGACAAAGTGAGCTCGGAGTTCGGGGCTTCATCTGCGAGTGGAGGTGGAGGGGGGTGGGAGCGGTGGGTGTGGGGGAGTGGGGAGGGTATAACGAGCCAATGAATCTAAAGGCAACTGGAGAGGTTTGGGATAGATACCCTCACTCGTGCTGAATCCAGCATTCTGTAACCAGTGCCCATCACGGGTTATATCATGAGATATATGTGCAACAACAACAACAACAAAATTACATTTGTAAAGCGCCTTTCACATCGGGAGGACGTCCCAAGGGCAGCACCATCAGTGCCTCTCAGTGATTGGGATTTTCCCCTTTTCCTCCTGCAGCTATTCACTGGGAACTGGGATAACAACCACCAGAAGAAGAACCTGTTTGACCCTCCCATCCTGGCTCAGTATATACGGCTGCTGCCTGTGATTTGCCAGCAAGCCTGCACCCTGCGCATGGAGCTCCTGGGCTGTGAGCTCAATGGTAAATCACACTGCAAGCACCTAGCTCGAGGGCCGGGGGGGTGGTCAGTGTGGAAAGGGGGGCCATGCTGGGGTGGGGCAGTGTTCGGGGGGGTGGGGGGGCGATAGTGGCAGGCGTGGTCAGTGACGGGGGTCAGTGTCTGGGGGGGGTCAGTGCTGGGGGAATCAGTGCTGGGGGGCTCAGTGCTGGGGGGCTCAGTGTCGGGGGGGCAGTGTCAGGGGGAGTGAGCCCTGGGGAGGTCAGTGCTGGGAGGGGGTTCAGTTTCGGTGGGACGGAACAGTGCTGGGGGCGGGGGGGGTTAGTGCTGGAGACATCAATCCAGGGGCGGATCAGTGCTGGAGGGGTCAGTGCCGGAGGGGTCAGTGCTGGGGGTGTCAGTGCTGGTGTGTGTTTGGATGGATTCAATGAGTGTGCACCTTGTGGGCATGGTGTCACATTGCCATTTGCCACTCTCTGCTTTAAACTCTGTGTTTACAGTTGATTTAAACGTGACAGGTTGTTCGGAGACTCTGGGCATGAAGTCGCGGATGATAAAGGACGAGCAGGTGACGGCCTCCAGCACTGACAGCCTGTGGGGTATGGATTGCTTTACCTGGCGGCCCAGCCTGGCCCGGCTCGATAACAACGGCAAGACCAACGCCTGGACCTCGCGGTTCAGCAACCGCGATCAGTGGTTGCAGGTACCGCCCTGCGCCTCGCTTCCCATCTGGCTCCGTGGGGTGGGGGAGAAATTGGGGAAACCGCAGGCGAATGGGGTGGGGGCAGGTAAATGGGACTGAAAGGATTGCTCTCGAGGAAGTGGCACAGACATGATGGGCCGAATGACTGCCTTTTGTGTGTAAATGCCTCTGGTGCCCGTCACTGCCTTTACTCCTGATGTTAGGGTGCAGTTTGGGGAGGCAGAGACTCTGAAAGTGACCAGCACAGGGGGAACAGCCCACAATCAGACAAATCACACCCGATGAGTGTCCATAACACTGACCACTTGCTCTGTGATCCTCAGGTTGACCTGTTGACTCCAAAGAAGATTAGTGGGATCATCACCCAGGGAGCCAAGGACTTTGGGAAGGTTCAGTATGTGCAATCCTTCAAAATCGCCCACAGCCTCGATGGCAAGTCATGGAACGTTTACAAAGATAATTCCACCAACACTGACCAGGTGAGCAAGCCAGAGGATGCATAATGTAGAGGAAGCTTTAATGTGTCTCTAACCCTGACCTGGGAGTGTGGACGCACAGTGTAGACGGAGCTTTACTGTGTCTCTAACCCTGACCTGGGAGTGTGGACGCACAGTGTAGACGGAGCTTTACTGTGTCTCTAACCCTGACCTGGGAGTGTGGACACACAGTGTAGACAGAGCTTTACTGTGTCTCTAACCCTGACCTGGGAGTGTGGACGCACAGTGTAGAGGAGCTTTACTGTGTCACTAACACTGACCTCGAATCAACTCTTTGCTTTTGTAAACTTTCCCCTCAGATTTTCGAAGGAAACTACGACAACAGCAGCCACAAAAGGAATGTGTTTGAGCGGTCGTTCTATGCACGCTTCCTGCGTGTGCTGCCATGGACCTGGCACAAGAGGATCACCCTGCGCATGGAACTGTTGGGATGTAACGAATAGAGAGCGTCTCCCGCACCCGTGTGTCACAGTGACACACATGTGTCATGTCACACTGGGCACGTGGTGCTCACTCACTATTTTATACATGTTTATAAACAGTGGGATTCCAGCTTTTCTCCACAACTAACCTCTTCCCCAACTCCAGCCTCTTGCCTCCCCACTCCCCCAAACCCCACCTCAGGGGCTCAGCGACCCTATTGGATACTCTCCCCCCCATCCCCGAAGGGAACTCCATTGTTACGAAAACCAATAGGGTTTATATCCCCCCCACCAGCCACCAGGAATCCCGAGCCCATTCTGCCTGCGCTGGAGTCTGGTGAGCATGAGGCTGACCTTGTGCTCCCTCCCATCACTGCCGGACCCTGTGCCTCCCCTCCTGCACTGACTTGACCGTGTGCCCCCCCTCAGCACTGCTGGACCCTGCGCCCCCCACCCACACTGACTGATCCTGTGACCTCCCGGCACTGACTGACCCTGGGACCCCACCCCCCGCACTGATTGACCTCCCACATGACGCTCTCCTGCTCTCTTTCTGCCACATCACATACAACAGCTGGCCGCACCCCGGCCTCACAGTTTCGCTTTGGCCATTTGGCCGGGGGGGGGGGCAGGGGTGAGTGTCAGGTGGGGGGGTTAACGCCGAAGTGGGTGGGGGGTGGTTTTAGGATAAAAGAGTAAAATCTGAAAGCTAAGCAGATTTTTTACCTGAAACAGACGGATGTTATTATTAATCTCCCAATCAGTGACAGGAAAGGTCAAGGGATTAGCAAAACAACATGGGATACATATCCTCACACGTTACTGACACGTCTCTTCTCCAAACATGCTCACTGACCCCCCGCCCCCACACGCTCACTGACACACACACACATTCGCTGACACACACACAAGCTTACTGTCTGTCAGGTTAAATCCATGCAATACCTGTGGAGGTTGTGCGGGGTGGGGGGGGGGTGGTGGAATGTGGCTCCGACCTACAGCACAGGATGTAGCTTTGAAATTCCAGTGTGCCCCTGCCTGCAGGAATATCACACGTGAACGTACCTGCCTGTGGCATGCAGCATGGTCTGAGGCAGCTACATCAGATACACACAGCAGGTGCCGGTGTGTCGCTCTGTGTGTGAGTCAGGAATTGATCCAGATTAACACAGTGTCTGGGCAAGATGAGAGCAGGAGGGACCAGGACTGAATGTGGGATTCAGGGTCAGAGGCCAGGGGGCGTGGGGTGGGTTTGTGGGGTGAACGTTGGGGCACGCTGTGCGCAGATTGGCTGCCGTGCTCACTTACAATATACACAGTCACTACACTTCACAGTGCAATCCTGTGGAATGCTTTCATATGTCTTGACGACCAGATGAGTTAAGGCTTGGTATCAGAAGCGAGGGTTATATCAGTATTTGACGCCGGGTTGTTGTCAAAGCGATTGCTGAGAGCGCAACAGCAGCAGCGAGCGCTCACACAGAGCCTGCCAGGGGGTAAAGGTTCCACAGACAGTCTGTGGAGGATATCACACAGCGAGTGTTCCTGGTCCGAGTAGCAGGTGCAGCGCTGCACTCAGGTGTTTCAGACACTAATCGGGAGTAAACGCGGCTCCTTCCCCCCACTGACGGAGAGCGTCCTCAGCCGCTGGCAGTGCACAGTGACAGGCTGGTTATTCACACTCCTTGCACGCTTACAAGCTGCTAACACAGGCAAAGAACCATTGTATTGGTGTAAAGCTGCCTATTAACCTGTATTGTAACAGCATGTAACTCACAGCACCATCCTGGGCTGGGATCCAGGGCACTGAGCTGCTGAATATTTTTCTGTGGGGCAATGATTAAAAGATTAAAAATCTGCCTTCTGTGTCTGAAGCCGAATTATATTGTTTGACTCAAACCTGTTCCATAGATTCCATTACACCATCTAAGGCATCTTCCATTGATTCAGTGCAACAGGTACATACACAAACAATCACATGCATGTGCAGATGTACACACAGTCACACACGTACACAATCACAGGCATGTACCCATGCACATAATTATGCATGTACACGTGCACACACAAGACACACACACACACCATCACACTGACAGGCTGTAGCTTAGGACAGGACAGAGAAGCTGGAATCAGATACAGCAATTCCCTCTCAGGAGCTTCTCATCTCTTTCATAAACAGGATACTGAGCTCTTCCGGGGCTGACACACACATCCAGAGATAGTTTCATTAACCGGGAACCAAATCAGGACAAATAGAGACAATTAAATCAAGTCCGAGATCAGTGATGTCCGTGGAAGCGGCAAACCACAGACACTGCGACTTTATGCAGACTTTATGCACTGAAATCAAACAATGTAATATAATAATATTATATTTCCCCAACCCTAACCACTGTAGCATAGTGGTTAGCGAGCTCAACTTGCAAGCAAGAGGACCCGGGTTTGATTCCTGGATGGCGTGAATCCTTATGCACCTCTGTTTACCGAGCAATAAGTTGGAACCTGGTTGTTAGTTGACTGTTGGATCGTTTTCCGGGGGTAATAATCCTTAAGAAAACGCGCTTCCTATAAAGCACTTTCACACGTCACAACAACGTGATAAAGTTCTATATCAAATGCAATTATTATAATAACACTGAGCCTTGCATTTGATATAGTGCCTTATCACACCATTAGAGACATCTCAAACTCTTCAAACATACACCACTGAAACATACCCACAAACACTGAAGTGTACCCACCCTGTGGTGCATGGCTCGGGCTCAGGGATCGCTTCCACACAAAGGGCAGCAGTCCCGGCGCTGAGCACAGCGGAGAGTGAGTGCAGGTACTTGTTAAAGGAGGGGCTGCCGAGGGGAGTGGGGCCCACGGTGGTGGGATGGGAATTGCACCATCATCACCCGCGGTCTGAGAGAGAGAGAGAGAGAGAGAGGAGTCCCCCTGTGGGGGCAGAGGAGACCTGGTTGCGCTGTGTGTGGAGAGCAGTCAGGACGTGGCGTCACACTGCAGAGGGGGTTCGCCATCCTGAGGTCCCGGTGACGCACAGACAGATGCCTCGTCTTGTTTTATAAAGTACAATTATTAGGTGCCAGGAGTTTACTGCAGACTCCGGGATACAAAGGGACAAGAGCATTGCCAAAGCTGCTTCTGGTGCAATCTGACCTGCGACTGGACTGAAAACAAGGGGCAACTTTGCTTAACTTTTTGTGAGTAACGAAAACTTTTGGAAATCATTTCTGTACCAAAAAAAAGTGTACATTTGATGAAGTTGTAATTTGAATCAATTCATCTTTTTTTTTGCTTGTATTGAAAAGTCTTGTTTTTTTTCAAAGAAACATTTTTTTCACACTCCTGGAGTTTTAAAACGTTTCTGTAAACCTTAGGAACTGGGGAAGTGGTAACAGTTTAATGGGAAAGGAATAGTTTTAATGGGTAAAAAAAGGAAAACAATCCAAAAAGTGGAATTATGGACATCGAAAGCTCTGTTTGCTTTATCGATTTAATCGCAGCACAGTGTGAGGTAAGACAATTTAATGTAACATTTGCTTTTGGGGGGAAAATAATAACAATTCGCTACCTGGCGGTAAGTAAACTAATTAAAATTAAACCAATTAAAATATTACACACACATATCTATTACAAAAAACCAAAGCGGAAAATTACACAATTTCTAGAGGGAAAAAAAGTGTATAACTGACAGATTGTTATGTCATAAAAGTGAGTTTTTGAATCGTTTGTCGCCTCTTATCATAACGTTGTGAATCAAAGGTGGAGGGAAGGGAAGAGTGTAAATATCCACAAAGGGACATGAGGTTGGATTTTATTCGAAGTGCATTAGGCAAAAAAAAGGAATTTCGAATGAAAATGCGCCGAGCAGGAGGGGGGGTCTTGTCTGAGCGGTTTGCAGTGTTAGTTGCTGTCTCCGGGGATGCGCTGAAGTCACAATTTTGGAGTTTCAGCGATTCCAAAAATGTCAAAACTTTTCACTTTCTGAGTGAGGAAAGTTGCTGCGCGCACAGCGCCCTCTGTCGGCCGCCGCCGCCCTGACAGGTCCGGCCACAGCTTCCAGGGATGGAAGAGGCCACTCGGTGGGTTAGTTACTCCCAGCGCCAAACCTCACAGTTCAGCAGATGTGTGGGCAAACCACCACTTACACATTAATCACATGGCCCCACGGTAGGAATTGTGGGATAATATAAATGAGGTTTGTATTGTGGACATGTGGGAGAGTTTGAGTTGAGTGCGGGAGAATGTGTGGGACAGTTGGCCAGGGTTAGGCACGGGTTGGCTATGTGCGGCTGATGCTGGGAGCCTGTGGTCGTCGCTTTTGGGGGGTTGAGCGGGAGAGTGTGAATCGCTCTCTGGCCACCACCTGAAAGTCTGGCCACAAAACAAGGCAGCAGAGTCGCCCACAAATCACCTTGAAGTCAACCCCCGCCCCCATGAATTAAACAATGGGGGCCGGTAATAAATGGGAAGCGGTCAGTGTTGTAACTGGACCGAAGTAAACATTAAAGCAACAAGTGCGGTGCAGGTAACGGGAAGTGGAGATCGAAAGGGTTAATGCCAATGCGAGAGGCTTCACCTGGTCTGTGCTGCCCCCTGTAGTGCATCAGCGGGCGATTAATTCTGTCTTTCTGCTCAATGTAGGGGTCAATTTGCCTTTCTCAGTACAGGAGCACTCTTGCCCCTGGGTCAGAAAAGTGTGGGTTCAAGTCCCACGTCAGGACGTTAAGCTCATAGTTGATGCTCTGGCTCAGTGCGGGGGTGGACGCTGCATTGTTGGAGGTGCCATTAAACATTAATTGAGACATTAAACCAAGAACCCATTCTCTTCAACCGTGCCTTCAGCTCCCCTCTCGACTTTCTACCCCCTCCTCGTTCCCTCCCTTCCCTCACCCTGACCATTTCCCCCCTGCATGGGTTTTGACGCAACTGTCCAGCGCCTTGAGACGTCCTCCCGACGTGAAAGGCGCTCTATAAATGCAATCTTGTTGTTGTTGTTGTTGCTTACTCGGGTGGATGTTAAAGATTCCATCACACTACAGTATCGGAAAAGGTAAGGGAGTTTCTCCCGGTGTGTTGGCTAATAATCCCCCAGATAAATGTGGTCATTCATTTCATGGTTATTTGTGGGGCATTGCTAGGTGCAAATTATCTGCCTTGTTTGCCAACACATTACCATACTTTACAGAAAACTCTGGTGCTTTGATATGATAAGATACTTATCCAATACAAGGATTATTAGTAATAATAATTATTCCTACATTTGATATGGTGCCTTTCACATAGGGAGAATGTCTCAATTTGGGAGAAACTCCCTTCTTTTCAAACTTATTTTTGGTGAGTTTGGTGTCTGACACATGTGGAAACCCATCACCATGACTTAGGAGTATCCAAACCAGACTGAGAGCTCATTAATGCCACTTACACATGGCAATTCCAATGTTTGTAGGATTCTGCACTCTCCCCTCGTGTTACTTAACTACTGAGACCCTCACAGAGGGTTGACTTGTTTCCAGCACTCTGCTGCCCAGCACGTCACCCTGGAGCTACTTCAGCTCCAAAGAGAACCCACTTACCTCTCCCCCGAGGAGCTATGTTGAGGAGAGTCACGGGACGAACCATTCGCTGAGGCTGAGATTGGAGGTCTGGTCAGCAAACAGTTCCAGTGAAACCGGTTTGTCAATGAAGCTGCATTACCAATACCAAACGCTGGATGGCGCCTGTGCTCCGGTTCCTCTTTGACTCGAACCGAATTCAACAAAAGTTTCGTCAGAGCGCCGCCTCCTGGGCACAACTGGTTACTGCAGAGCTAAACTTGGTCCAGTGATGGATGCCTTCAGAGGATGAGGATGAGTTCTGTGCAGAGATAGGAGCACAGTCACATTGTCACAGGATCACTGGGAATATTACAGCGAGAAAGTAACTGCTTGTTTTAATTCCAATCAAAGCTGCAGCAATCTGGAACTTTATTAAGTAATTAAATGAATCACTCGCCCTCCCTCCCACACTTCACTGGAAGGAGTGTTGGAGCAGGGTCTCCCCACGGCTTGATGGATTGACCTCTTATCCCTGAGCAGGCCTGACCCTGCGATGCTCTTGTTCTGTTGCAGGAGAGAGATTGGTGACACAATGTTGGCTGTGATGGTGGCCATGCTTCCCCTATTGTGCCTGTCTCAGTGTCGGGAACAAAACGGTGCTTTTTACTTCAATGGGAATGGCAATGGAGAGTGTGAGTATTGAGGGTGTGTGTCTGAGTAATACAGCCTGTCCCCACCCCCAGGAACCAGCTCCTCTGTCCCAGCACCAGCCCAGCTCTCCTTGACCTACCCACACCCAGGGCAGGACTGCACCTCTTGCTGCACACAATGGGATTCCCTCCCTCTCACTGCTCTGAGGCCTCACATGGCTGTGTGAGGAGTTCTGTTCTGTGTCTGATGTGAAGACCTTCCCTTGTGGCAGTTCTAGCAGCAGTGGCCAGCTGTCTAGCATACGGTCTGATCACAACCAGAGGGACGTTAGAAAGACCACTCGCCCTTTCTATCACCTTACACCTGCCCTTGCCCCGGGGCAATAAGGCCAATTGTATTGACTATTCCTGATGCTCTTCCTGCTGCCCCGGCTGGAAGCAAAGCTGTGGAGTGCTCTGTGGGTGTGCAGCTTAGTTCTGTCCCAGCTCCCCCCCCACCCCCCACACTGAATGTCCATCTTGATTTAACCTTAATCGTGTGAGTGAGGAGCCAGTGAAAAGCTTTGGGTTTGAGTTGTGTTTATGACCCTCAGATTTTAATGGGGTGAAACTGCACATTGAGGCCCCGAGGGACAGAATCTTCGCTTATCGCGGCGAGAACGTGACGCTGACCTGCCGCTTCCACTACCAGCCCGAGCTCAACGCCACCCGCAAGGTGCGAGTGAAATGGACCAAACTGAACCTGGATTTCACCAAGGAGAGCGACGTGATGGTGGCCATCGGCCTGCGGCACCGCAGCTTCGGGGAGTTTAAGGGCCGTGTGTACCTGAGGCAGCGGCAGCCGCGGGAGGTCTCGCTGGTCATCGCCGACGTCAGGCTGGAGGATTACGGGAAATACAAGTGTGAGGTCATCGACGGCCTGGAGGACGAGAGCAGCATCGTGGAGCTGGAATTACGAGGTGGGGGGTGGGGGAGGGAGGGAGGGAGCAAGGAGGGAACGTGAGGGGCTCTGAGGGCGAGGGCTATTTCGTATATATTATATATTATACATATATATTATATATTATATTTATATTATAATATTGACTATTTTGCGGAGTGTTTTGAGACGTCTCAAAACCTGATAAGACGTTGTATCAAATGCAAGATTATTAATATCTGGCGATACTGTACATAATTTGGGACACGACGTGTCAAGCGACTGCCAGGACCGGTAGGAGGTGAACTAGATGGACCTTGGTCTTTCTCTTAGCAAATTCTTATGTTCTTGTTCGTGTTCCTCGTGCCTTCCAGGTGTGGTGTTCCCCTACCAGCCCAGGCACGGCCGTTACCAGTTGAACTTCCATGAGGCGAAGCGGGCATGTGAGCAGCAGGACGCGATGGCAGCCTCCTTCGAGCAGCTGTTCCAGGCCTGGGAGGAGGGTCTGGACTGGTGTAACGCGGGCTGGCTGGCTGACGGCTCGGTGCAGTACCCCATCACCGCGCCGAGGGAACCCTGTGGTGGCAAAGACATCTCGCCCGGCGTACGGAGCTACGGGCAAAGGCACAAGGACCTGCACCGATTCGATGTGTTCTGCTTCGCTTCCACTCTGAAAGGTGAGGTTGGGGTGAGGAGGGGCATGAGGGGATGGCTTGGGGGGGTGGTGGGGGAGGGAAAACCTCTCGCCTGGGGACATTGATTGTCAAATCTTTTTAGGGCCCCTGCTCCCCCCTGCCCGGTCTCGTTCCTCAATCCTCCTGCTCTGTAACTCTCTCCCCGGTTCCTGTCAGCCTCCTCTCCCGGTCAGGCAGTGCCCGGCTCTGGCTCTGTCTGTGTGAAGTGTTGCTCCCCCCTCCTCCCCCCGCTAGACACGGAAACATCTGGGGCTGGAATAACACTGGGTATTTGGTGGTCTCTCTCAGGGACGCTGTACTTGCTGCAGAGGCCGGGGGGCATGAGCTTCTCCGCCGCGGTGACGATGTGCGAGGAGGATGGCGGGCAGATCGCCAAGGTGGGACAGCTGTTCGCTGCCTGGAAGTTCCTGAGCTTCGACCGTTGCCAGGCGGGCTGGCTGGCGGACGGCAGTGTCCGTTACCCCATCGCCTTCCCCCGACCCAACTGTGGCCCCTCGGAGCCCGGGGTCCGCACCTTCGGCTTCCCGGGGAAAGAGCACGGCCGCTTTGGCGTTTTCTGCCACAAAACCAGCTAAAGCCGAGCGGCGGGAGCCAAGCCCAGGAGCCCGACCCTCCGCGGGTCAAACGTAGAAACAAATTATTATTGTTAAGAGTTTAAAGTCCTGTCTGCCCCGTCCTGGTGTAGTGGAGAGCAGAGTCCCTGCCCCTGGCCCTCACCCCCTCCTTAACCCCAACCCCCTCCCTGCCCTCTCCCCCCACCCCCCCCACCTCACCCCTGGGGCAAGTCGTGGCAAACTTGGGCCAAATTTCCAAATAAAGTTTGAAGATGAGTTACAAGCGGGTAATGGTAAGAACGCTGATTATTTCTCTGTTTGGCAGCTTCGCTGATCTCTGTGTCGCGGCCTCGCTGTTACTGCGGTGCTGTCTGTCGCCATGTTGTATTTTTTGTATTAATGTTACTGTTTAGAATATGCGGACTGATTGAGAAAGCAGGAAAGTCTGGGTGAGCTTTTAGTGCCTTATACATGTCGAGGTAATTACTGCCAAGTGTAGTTGAGCGACTGTTTTGTATGTTTATTGACTCTTTACACCCATTGCTTTTGATCTCAGCCAGTTAGCTCACCTGTTGGGCCGGGGGGGGGTGAGGGGGGAGTCTTGTAATGAGACCAGTTAACCAGGTTTGGGACAAGAATTGAGGCCGTGACGATGATCTCTACTGGCTGTGTTATTGGGACATTGACCCCTGTAGCACACGCAGGGCTGTATTAAGAATTTAAGCTGTTTTTCTTGATGCTGAGACATTGACTTTTCAACTGTGGCCAATTATTCTTTAAACCAAAGACCAGCACCCGGTCCTCTGCCGCCCCACCACGTCCAATGTCTTGGGTTTATATTTTATCAACTGGGTTAAAACTGGGATTAAGGGAGGAGGGGAACAAATATACAGACATAGAGGTTTATAAAATATGAAATAACTAGTTAATGGAATGGAGACAGGAGATGGGCTAGGTTAGATGGACGAGTTTATTTACAGTGACTGGGCACTGGATGACAAAGAGGTAACTGGAGGGGCAATGTGTCACTGATTTCTAAAGGATGATAAAAGGGTTAACTTCTAATGTGACGGAAATGCTCTAATGGCAGGTTTCCCTCAATGAGCCAAAATAATCCATATCATATTTCTACATATTATTACAAATAAACGTTGACTTGTGTGTACGAGTGTTGTACTGTGTCCTGTGTGAGTTGAGTTGGACGTCAACAATGAACGGCCGCATGTCCCCCATGGTGGTGGAGCCATGGGGGTTCATGGAGCAATGGCAATACAGGCAAGATCCTGAACCACAAGATACAAGACCCGCTTTCCACATTGCAATTACTATCACTCAGCTCTCGCTCCATGTTGTGTGCTTTGTTGAGCTCTGTGTCTGGCGATTATTGGGGTTTCAGTGGTAGTTTGCAGTCGGGGCTGGGTACCCATCGCCCGTCTCTGCAGTGACGGAGGGACTTGTAGTTACTGCAATCATTGCAATGCTCTAACCGTCATCAGTCTCTAACCTGCGCTCTGACTGCAAAATGCGCCATCTCGTGGACGATCCAAGAACTGACCACTCGCCCAAGTGAGTGGATCTGAATGGCACTCAGTGGATGGCACTCAGTCCATTGCCAGCCTGGACCAACGTTTGACTCTCACACCAGCCACCAACGAGGGAGATTCCACTATGTTTATTGATAGACTCCAGCTCTGTGTTAGTGTCAGTTTATGATTATGAACAGAAAGCTTGAAGGCACAGATCACACTTGCCCACTTCAGTGAGAGACACAGTGAAGGGAACAACAACTTGCATTTATACAGCACCCTTCACGCAGAGGAAGTGCCTCAGAGCTCTTAGGAACAAACGTGCATTGCAAAACACAGTCCGCAGTTTCAAATGTGGGGAGGAGGGGGTTGAAAAAAAATGCCACACTAAAAGATCTAGGCTAATAAAGAGCCTTTGGCACCAAGATAATGTCGATGTTGATGAATATAATAATAATAATCCTTGCATTTGATATAGCGCTTTTCACATCGGGAGGACGTCCCAAAGCGCTTCACAGAACACACTGTAAAGTGAATTGACTGTATATTTGTGGGCGAACGCGGCAGCCAATCGCGCACAGCAATGTCCCACAAACAGTCGTGGATTGAAAATGACCAATTTATTATTGTTTTTTGTTTTGGAGGATTATTATTAGGCTCTGTGTGGAGTAAGGAAACTTGCCCAAGGTTTGGCCCTGACCCCCCGGGGATTGAACTCCGGTCTCTCGCATGCAAAGCGAGTACTCTAACCACTGAGCTACAGGACTCCAGATATTGCATATATAGTATTACACAGCAACATAATTGGTGTACAGGTTTTAGCGCATTTTCTGTTAAAATCTCGGTTAATCAACCAGCACGTGACCAAAGCCTCTAACTTGTTCTTTCCTCTCATTGCTCTGGTTTGAAGTAACTGAAAGCATCAATACTACCGGGATACAATGACACCTTTCAATGCTGCTTCTAACACTATCACCACACAAGCTCTCTGTGTAGTCCGTACAGCTATGGCAAACACAGAACTGCAAATTTACCTTCATTTGTTCCACTGCAATTTGCCAACTCCTAGTTTCTTTCCAAAGTGTCTGAAGCCAACAACAACAACTTGCATTTATATACCTCCCTTCACACAGTGCAGCGTCTTAGAGCCTGACAGTGGTGGTGCCGGATGCCAAGACCAGGGGAGGGAGGAAGTGACCATAAGCACAGTCAAAGAGGAAGGACTTCTGGCGTGATTTGAGGAAGAAGAGGACGAGGCGGAAGGATTGAGGGAGAGAGATCCAAAGCATGTCACATGATTTTGTTTCCAGTGGAACTTCAAGCATTAGAATGAGGGCATTCTGAGATTACAGTCTGACATGTTTGTGGTTTTACTTTCAAACGCACTTGCAATCTACAATTTCTTTTCTTACATAAAATATTTTAATAATAATCCTTGCATTTTATGTAGCACTTTATCCCGTCGTGAAGACATCTCAAAGAGCTTCACAGGATATACTGTAAAGTGGAGTAAGTGATAAGCGCATTTAAAGAAGGAAGTGTAGTCTCACTGTTGTTCGCTATAAAGAACTTTCAGATGATCCTGGGGCCACAGTGATGGTTAGTTTATTGTATACAATTCACTTTATGCAGAAATAGAACGCAGTTCTTGTCTTTAATACATAACCATGCTTCAATTAAACTCTTTTTTAAAAAAAACTTTCCCGCAGCAACAATCATGGCCACAAATGTTATAGGTACAGAGTCTGGAATCATCCTATAACGCAGGCCGTACAGTCAATTCCTCCACAGCAAATACAGTTCAACAAAAAGATTTCCTCCTGATGGATATTCCACCTTGCTCCGTTAAATTTTATCTGTAAAAATAACTGCAGATAGGTTTGTAAAGGAACGCGCACTAACCCATTTCCGTTAAGCACGCTCTGGAGAACAGTTGACATTTAGTTATAAAACTTGTATCTAGTGTTGCTGGGCATTTAAATAGTTAATAATATTATTCACAAAGTGAATGGGGTAACCTCCCTCTAACTCGGTCTTCTCTCCCTCCCTTCCTGCCCTCATCACAAATGCAGGGGCCGTGTAACCCATTGGCTGATGAAGTTTGCGACATTTCGTAAACGTATCCCTTGTGATGATTGTCTATGAAACGCCACAATCTCACCCCTACCCATTTATCACATTTAAACAGACTTAGTTCGTCACCTAGTGCAAAGCTATGGAGGCCATGAGGCCAAGTTCAAGAAGGGCAGTGGAAAACTCACAAGGATTTCTGTAATGAGCCCCCCCAAGATGAACATGTTATGCTGAATGAAGGATGAACCCAGAAGGTTTGATACTAGTCTCCAGATATCATTTTATTCCATTCCAAACCTGCAGTGAATGCAAACAGCTCTCCCCAGGCTGTGGTAAACAGTCTGAGGGACTGAGCATGCTGAAAGTTACAGCAAATTCTCTGTGCAGATTTGCACTGTTTTCACTCTGGAACAAAGCTTGCAATGTAAACCCTCCCAAATGTGACAGCTTCGCAGGACAGCTGAGAATGAAAATGAACTCTATGCCCATGACCTGTGTCCTGGAAACAAGCATTGTTGTTTAAACGCTGCCAATGGCATGTGGGCCTGTTAAGGTACGATTCCTATGAATTATCCATTGACTCCATTATTTTTAAGGTGTAGGATTCAGGCCTGGCGCATTCCTCACAATCCAGACTCATTGTGCCTGCAGATATCACTGGGACTGGGACCACATTGGCCTCTTTGACAACTGCAGGCTGGGCTCCCTGTTAAGGAACCAGTATTAGATTTAGCAAGCAGTGTTCAATGGGGCTTGAATTTCAACTTTTGGTTATCATGTGGAGATGGCTAGGCAGGCCGCGGGGGACATTTAAAGTAGTAAAAGTTGCAGAAATATAGGGGAAAGATTCACATCTTTACGATGAGGTAAACAAATTATAATATTTTGCCCATTGTTTCTGTGCTCTTCATGATGAGGGACGTTAGCGCTGGTGATTGGAGCATTTTTCCATTTTAGGTTTCCCAGATTGACAATATCAAGGGGTTTAAACCTATTGGATGACAGATCTACACCACCCAAGCCCTGGGGTAGATTCAATCCCAGGCACCGGAGGTGAATGGGTACCGTCACTTTCTCTTCAAAAAACACCAGGAAAAAAGGTTCCAGACATCCATGTGCACCAACATCCCACCAAGCCACAAACATGAATGAAATATCAGAGATTCAGGGAAATGTCAGCAATTGCTTTTGAGCAAAGAGAGTCTAAGAACACAGAGTTTCACAGCTGCGATTGAATGAGATTTCCCTTTCAAAATAAAGAAATTCATTGTGGTTTTAAAAGTACAGGTTTATAAGTAAATCTTGGCTCCAGAAAGCAGGAGACGTCTCACATTCATACATTTTCTTTGAAAAGAATGTAAACTATATAATTGTTTTCTACAAATTGTAAAATATGTTTACATTTCCAGTCGTCCCTTTACTTGTCTAAAATGTATTGAAAGTAATAATTCAGATGTATTAACATAATTGCAAACCTTTCGTACCTGCATTCAATTCTGCTGTACACACTCATTCTCTCTCTCCACATTCAGCCACACGATAACACATGCAGACGTACACATTCACGCTTTCAAATAATCATTAAAGCTGTTTCCCTACTAAGAATAAAATATAAAGGTTCATATTTTATTTGACATGTTTCAGGATGCTTTGGTTGGAGCGAGTTTGCACTCAGTTCTGGTAAAACAGGTGTCCATTTTGCTTGGTCCTCAATGTTTCAATGGTTTCTATACAACACAGATTGTGGAGAGAAGCTTTCTCTGCTTACGCAGACAGCTCCGGCCTTGATAATGAGTTAGCGCTCCAGTTTCTAATATACCCTCAAACATAAAACCTACCCAAACATCACGCACTGCACGATCCCGGGTGAGGAGTATCAAAGCATCCATTGTGTGGGCTCTGGGGGACATAGGAGGGACGAGACAATTTTTTTTGCAATTTTCTTTTTAAAAAATATAAATCTGTGATTGTTGCTGCTTCTCAATGGTTTGGTTTGTATATTTATATATCTGTATATTCCAGCAATGTTTAAACTATGTTGATGTCACCTTTGTAAGCAGTGTGGAGATAGTAGGTGGGTTGGATCCAGCTTTTATGACTTTACATCAGTGTAGCTTAATGGAAACAAAATCTTCAGCACCTTACCACAAAGGCTTAGCGAGGGCTGAATGATGCCCAGAGAATAAACCTTGATTGAAATTTGAAAAAAAATAAAAGGCGTTGGATTTACGGCTGCTTTGGGCATTTTGTATATTGGCTTGGATTTTTTTTTGGGGGTGTGGGTCATTAAAATCAAATCTTTCATCTGACAAATTAATCTTTGTTAATATAAATGTTCTGGAATAGAATTCTATACTTTTTTTTCCCACTTAAGGCTCAGAGCTGTGTGAGGCCCCAGGGTCAGGCTGCACGTGTGGCCTACTTGCGTCACTCCTCCTTTGAGGTCGGCGATTATATGTGGAGACTGTAAAAGGAAATAGAAAGTTGGAAAGGGTTTTAGGAACAAGTCACAAAGTGTTATTCTATATGAAAGCATTTGCTTATTCAAATCCAAGTGTTCCACTCCCCCTTTTCCCCCTTGTATCCTTCAGGGCCAGACTCATATTGAGGTCTGTTTCCATGGAAACTGGCAGCTCTCAACCGCCTCCCTCCAGTGACTGTTCTCTATGTATGGACAGAGCTATAGGGCGGCTGTTTGGCCACGGGAGAGGGGTGCAATTATGGCTGACCAAATCGGATTTCTTTTTTGGGGTGGAACGGGGCAATATTTCCCTATTCTTAGGCTTAAAACCATGTCTTAAACTTAAAATTGTGTGAAATTGTGGAAAACATTCTTCAGTTTAGGTTTAATTTAGAAGCAGATTTTCCAGTTCCATTTTGGCACTGAAGAAAATGAATTTAAGATGGTTTTCCAAAGTAAAATGGCCTTAAGCCTGATAATATTGAAGGGTGTTATAGAACCTTTCAATATAGTGCCTCCTTGCTTATAACATGAGTCTACTGTGGATCTGAGCACACCACAGCTCTTCCACAGCTAACTAGCTGGCTTCTTGCACTAAAAATGTTATCTGTAAAATGCAACCAGTCAGCACAGCTAACGTCATTTACTGTGCACGCACTCAGGAAATGCCACCAACATCATTGCTCTTCTACCTCCAAGTGCATGTCCACCTCATCTCAGAGTAAAGCCAGGACTGTTAATGTTCCTGGCTGAAGGATATTGAATTCCAGGCTTCCATTGCTGGACATAGCTCAGAATAATGGAGGGAAGAGAGCTTTACTTACTGTCTATGCACGTAATCTTTGGCTGGTCCCACTGTCCGTCTGACTGACATCTGATGATGGGAATATGCCGTTGTAGGAACCCATCATTACATTGGTACCGTACTAAGGAGCCAATTTCAAAACGATCCTTCTTTTTCCCCAAACTTCTGGTATTTTCTATCACAGGAGGTGGCCCACAAGCAACTGATGAATGAAATAAGAAACTAAGCAATAAAAATGCACAAAGACACGATATCTTACTGAGGAAAATGGAATAGGGTGGTACTGGGTTAGTGTGTGCCAGGTTAGAGTGATATTGAGTTGGACTTGGGATGTGTGTTGGGTTGGGTGATGGGGTTGGAACTGGTGAATCAGATTTCCTGGAGATCAGTATTACTCATAAGTTATTGATCACTCACCTGTTCCTTTCTTGCATGTGTAAGGCAGGTGGTAATTGCAAGGCACATCATTCCATTGACCATTTTCGTGCCAAATCATGACCACACAATCTTCTCCGGTGCTAAAGAAACTGTCGGGTTGATTGGGACGCCAGTTTTCATACAGCTGGGTGAGAAAAGATCAAAGTTTAAATCATGAGATTAAACCTGCTATGCGAACAACCGCACAATCTATACAATTCATGACTCCTACAACCCTATTCCTTGGCATATTGGCAGCAATAACAAAGTCTGATTGAAGCCCATGTAAATCTCTTAGATCTTGGATGTTGACCGTTGCTGGGAATCCAAAACTATGGAGACAAATTGCACTGAGACTCGATGACAGAAAAGTCACAGGCTTCCCAGAGCCTCCAATGCCTGAACCAACAATTATGTAGCTTAGAATCAAGTGCCCTCAAGGTCCATCTCTTGTTAAGTTTTCTATAAAGAATATGTTTTTGCATGGGGAAGGGGGTTGAGATGGATGATTTGGAATTACCGAGGAGTTTTCTCAGTCCAGAAAAGGCTAAATGTTGGGAGTGTCATTAGTCAAAAGTCATGCAATTTATTTGGGATTGATTTCATTAGCAGATCTTTGTATTCTCACTTCATCCTGGCTAACTAGTTCAAGATAAATCACATTTATGTTTGAAAAGAGTAGCAAACACTGTGAAGAAAGAGATGTGCAGTTTTATTTTAGGCCAAAACTCACCAGCGGGGTGGCATCAGACCAATGGAAATCCCCTTCTATTGCCTTGTCATTTAGTCCGATCCACTGATAATCCTGTGCATTGCCTGGACACAAAAACAATGTCAATATCATTCTCAGCACTGGTTCAGCACAAAGACAGCATCAACATCAGACCGCAGTATGGCTCCAACTCCTGCTTCCACTCCATAGTTTAGAAACAAGATTTATTTTTAACACTTAAACAGGGAGCATGCAGAAAACGGAGAACATAGCAACATGAATGTATGGTAGGACCAACATACGGGGCTGTACCCCAACATAATTCAGAAGAGGATGGGAAAAAATGGGAGAAATATAGCCAAATATTTTTGTTGTAAGTCTATTTGGGTTTGGAATTGTACAAATATCACATTAGACCATTGCTTCTGGGTTGTATTGATTATAAATTATTGAACCTTTGCAGAGTCAGCATTTATTGTCTATCTCTTGCTGTCCTGAGAAGGTGATGTTTGGGATTTCTCTTATAATGTCTGCTCTTTTTGTGGCACTAGTGTGCTCACAGACATATTATGTAGGGAGTTCTTGAATTTTGACCCAGCGACAATGAAGGAATTTCAATGTGTAAAAGATTTTTGTTTGCTATTTATTTGATTCTGAAAGTACTGTTTTCACCTAAGCGAAGCTGTAAAATGATCTAATCGTGGAGAATTTTACACTTTGGACTTAATTCATGCCATTAAAAGGAGGATGATAAGTGGGGTTGACCTAGGCTGATCTTTCTGGGCAGGGTTGATGGGTGACCTGCCTGGCACATCAATAAGATTTGGAGGTGCACATGTCTCCTCAGCCACACAAACCAATGCTCTAACAGACTGGACAGCACTAGCTTGTCAAGTAGAGTGCTGCTTGGTCAATATTCATACTAAGGTTTGACAGATTGATGAAATGGATAGTGCCATAAGTTATGATTCAACATGGTCTCTACTTTAGCAGCAAAACTCACCATTGACAAACTCTTGTTCCTCAGGGGAAACAATGCTGGCGAGGTGAGCTTTGTGCTCCCTGCACTGGTGCTCCGCATCCTCCCAGGTCTGTCGGTCGCTGAAGTGTCGGTAACAATGACTCTCAAACTTTTTCCAACCAATCTCGCATGTCTCCACATCTACAGAAGAAACAGAACCCCTTATTGAACAGACTGCAAAATGTCCAGTCTGGAACTCAAGAGCCCCTGGAGTGCCTATGTTTGAATGTGACTGCTGACTTGAATTCACATTTATAAACTTCTGTCACAGGCCACAAAAATCATCTTATATTAAAACATCACAAACAATCAATGTCAACGTCTCATTCTGGCCAGAATATCTTGAAATTACTAGCTTCGGTTGCATCCCGTCATCTACTTCACTGCACACCTGTAAGCTTCAGTGATTGAGGTTTAGTTTTTGATAATAATCTGCGTGATGAACATTGAGAACATTTTGATGCACTTTCAGCATGCTACATATATACTTCCTTTAAAGCTGGTTTAAGTGAAGGAATAGTGTATATGAAGCCGCCACCTGCTCCCACCACATACACACACCTCATATACACCCCAACACCCCCCACATACACACACCCCAGTGTTGGGGTGTGTATAAGGTGTCTGTATGTGTGTGTGTGGGGATGGGGGGGCTGTTGAGGTGTATATGTGGTATGTGTATGGGAGGGGGTGTTAGGGTGTATATGTGGTGTGTGTATGGTGGGGGGGTGTTGTTGGGGTGTATATGTGGTGTGTGTACATGAGGATCAAATACCACTGGCTTCACGCACATGTGCAATTAAGAGCCGGTGGGAGCAGGTGGCGGTTAATTTTGGCGGGAGCGGCACGCAGGGCAGCAGGTGGTGAGGCTGGTGGGGGGAGTGGGGAATGGCAGGTGGTGAGGCTGGCGGGGGGCATGGCAGGTGGTGAGTTTGGCGGGGGGCGTGGCAGGTGGTGAGGCTGGCGGGGGGGTGGCAGGTGGTGAGGCTGGCGGGGGGGTGGCAGGTGGTGAGGCTGGTGGGGGGGGTGGCAGGTGGTGAGGCTGGTGGGGGGGGTGGCAGGTGGTGAGGCTGGCAGGGGGGGTGGCAGGTGGTGAGGTTGGCGGGGGGGGCAGGTGGTGAGGCTGGCGGGCCGGTCGGCCGTGGTGCGGCACTGAAGTCAGTCTCTGAGCAACACCAACAAACTAATGGAAAAGACTGAAATGAATAAAAGTGAAGATTTTCTGTGAATATCACATTTGTGAAACCGTGTGACACCCTCAGTAATAACAGCAGCGCATCACTGACAGCGAATACCACCAGCCACCCAGAGTCCAGGGCTGGAGCCCACAACATGGACAAGAGGCTGAGATGGTTCCAGCAAATCACCATTGAAGGATTCCCTGGACCAATACCAGAGGAACAATACTGTAGCTAATACATCACCTGTCATCAAAACAATAATAGAACCACAAAAATGTACAGCAAAGAAGAAAGTCATTCAGACGACCGTATTTGTGCTGAATTGTTGAAAGAACAATGAACTAGATAGCCAAGTTCCTGTCACTTCTACATTAATGCTAACACAACAACAACAACAACTTGCACTTATATAGTGCCCTCCATCAGGGTAGCATCTCAGAGCACTTAAATAGGCAGTTATGCAAGTGTTTTCTCTATGGAAGAGTGTAGAGAGGCACTAAGTCTCAAGAAAAACTTTATCAAAATAGAAACTTTTTATTGCCATGTCTGGAGAGGTAAGCTTGACTCTTAACGGTCAGAATGGTTTGGTACAAATGTCCTTGCTGGTCCTTAAAGACCAGGAGAAAGAATGGTTCCAGGCTGGCTGTTCACAAACTATTACTATGATAAATAATTATAATTCTTGTATTTGATATAGTGCCTTATTACGTCAAACAAAGCACTTCACAGAGTTTTTCTGCAAAATGTATTTGTAGGTGAACATTGTATAGCAATGTCCCTCAAATAACCTTGAGGTGAATGACCCTTTATCTGGGAGATTGTTGGCCAGGACACCAGGAGAATTTCTTTTCTCTTTTTGAACAGTGCCATGGGATCTTTAACGTCCAACTGAATAACCAGGCACAACCTTGGTTTAATGTCTCATCTAAAAGACGATACCTCGGACAATGCAGGGCACCCCGAGAACTACATTGGAGTGAACTCAGATTCCTGAGAATAAAGGACAAGGTTAGTTTAAGATACAGTTGTGAGATTCAGAGTATGTTGCCCAACCTAAACCGGGCTGCTGTTTTGTTAGCTGTTAGTAAAATTAGCTGAAGCCACCTTCTCGTACCAATTTCACAGAGGTTCCCTCCATAGCTGGGTAGGCACAAGCATTTGAATGAGTCGTTGCCATCGATGCAGGTAGCTCCATTCAGACAAGGGCTCGAGTGGCACTCGTCAATCTCTGCAAGAAATCAAGTTTCCGCCATTAGGATTCCAAGCAGAGAATTCTTTGACTAGGGCGAGTGTTGGACGAGGGGTAAGAGACCCTTTCTGCATTTATTCTGGAGGCATCCATATTGTGCTGCATTTCACTGGTCGTGGTTGGCTCATAAAGACATGTAATCAAACTCTCCCTGAATGAACCCCTTAGGGCTAACTGATCATTATGGCTATAATTGGCTGCTTTATTCAATAGTAAATTGTTGAAATTACAAAAAACAACTCTTTTACTAACCTTCCCTGTTTTTGTTATTTCCTGTTACGATATCCAACTAGCCGTTCTCTTTAGGATTCTCAACTCTAACTATCTGCTTTCTCGCTATGATTTTCCATAATGTGTGTGTCCAGAAGTACACCTGGTCTGTTGAAACCATTCATGATATGGATTAGAAACAATGTCATTTACTGCAAAGACTTGCAGTTGCGATGGTGGCATCAGATTGGTGCCTCTGCTCTAACTATGGTCTAACCATCAAGTATTTTCACAGCAAGGGGGTTGGAGAATAAGTACAGAAACAGACCATTTGGCCCATCAGGTCTGCAAGTGTTCTTCTCCACAAGAGCCACCTAGTCTAATCCCACTTTACTGCTCACTCCCCTTATCCTGTAATAGCCTTCTTCCATCTCCTCTCTATCTGGTTGCCTCTTAAATCCATTTGGGTAATTTGTATCCACTTTGTACCATGGTTTACTCTGATAAAAAAATTTAATAATTTATTCACTTAATCCCTGACTGTTTGTGGGACGCTGCTGTGCGCAATTGACTGCCACATTTCGCCCACAAATGTACAGTCAATTCACTTTACACTATATTCTGTGAAGCACTTTGAGACGTCTTGAAGACGTGAAAAGCGCTATATCAAATGCAAGTATTATTACTATATAATTTGCACAAATCTCTCCCTTGTGTTAAAAAAGGTTATTCATTGCTTCTGTATTTACTGTTAATTTCCCATTATTAAGCTTGTACTGCTGGTACGTGAATTTTTACCATAGCGAACAATTTGCTTGGAACAGCCTTGTTAATCCCCCTTATATTTTTTTAACAGGCTGATTGGTTTAGCTTGAAGTCCTCTGAAAACCACACCCAATTTCCTTAAACTTTCCTTCAAATTTAAATACACTGATATGCAGAACTACTCCGAATTCTAGGGACAATACCTTTAGATTATGTTGTTGGGAGGTGCTTGAGCATGGGAAGGGCTAATATGCCCTTTTTATGTAGATACCCTTAGTTCCTTGCTGGACTAGGTGAAAAAGATTGCACAGTAAGAAGAAGTAGGAAATAAAATAATGTCTACCACACTAAGAAACAGGGTGTCAGAGTGCTTAGTCATTAGGGGGCATTCTCAACCTAACTAGTTACTCTCCTTGCCTTACTTGCACCATTCAAGCAAAAGTATTTACAATATACATTCTTTCCTCAGCAACATTACACATGTTTCAAAATGGAAGCCCACAGAACAAGCATATGAGGGCTCTCCTCATCATTAGTACTTATTGGAAGGACACTGTTAATCTGTTTTGCAAGAGTATAGAAATAAGGAAGATATGGCCAAAGCATTTTGGCAATAAAACAGCAGCTAGAATGCTTAGTTATTTGAGCTCTGGCTTTGGGTGTGAAGAAGCAGGAGTTACAGCACAGCAAGATACTTTTGAAAGATAGGCTACTACAAGTTGCTTTCCACAATCTGACACATGTTTAAAGGAGATATAAAACAAAGGCATCGGTTCTAAACAGGATGATGAACAGCAATGAGCAAAATGATGGATTTATCTTCATAAATCATCTAAACTATTCCTCCATCTTCACAAATGAAACCTGGATCAAGTGATTCTCTTTGCATTGTTTTTACTAATGATTCAACACAGGTTTTCTTTAAATTGAAATATACATTTGATTGAAAAAACTCACAAAAATATTTGCATTGATCCTAGCAACCAATTACCATTACATTTATTATTGAATATAAAAGCAGTAAAGATACATCAACTCTACCAAAGAGAATTTGGTACATCTTCTAGACTGCTAACCAAATGTTCTTATTCTAAGCCGAGTAGTTTGGATATTACTGTTGTCATTTGTTTAGGTTTGCATTGTGGTAAAAGGGCAGAATATTACCAAATTAATTAGTGTTGGCCTATCATTGGTTTGACAAATTATTTACAGAGGTAATTCACATTGGACACCCCACTGCATCATCCCAAGTGACTTCTTGTTTGTGAGAACCTTCCCAAACCTAAAATCAAAAAGTTGGCCAAATACAAATTAATGAAGAGGTAAGTATAAAAATCAACACTGTTGCTCGTCAGCCTCACCAGGGTTACAAAATGAGTCAAAATTGTGCATCCAATTGTTGTATAAAGTGAAGGTTGAGTAATTTTAATGCATGATATGCTATTGTACTGACTTATAAATAATAATAATAATCCCTAAATTTGGTATAGTGCCTTTTACAGAAGTAAGTCTAAAAGTGCTTCACAGGATTCACTGTAAAGTGTAATGACTGTGTAATTTGTAGATGATTTCCCTAATTTGTAGTAATTTGTTGAAACTTTCAGTTTTTCCATTCTCCACTGGGTTGCAGGAGAATTGATGGCCTTGCAGTGAAGATTTCAACAGTGAAGAAAATCCACAGAAAAGACAGCACCAATCCAACACACAAAGTTGGAGTGAGTAAATTCCAAAAAGACTGCATACATTTGATAGAAAATATAGCTGCAATGGGATAAAATACCATAACCCATTTAATTTCATCCGTTACGGAGAGAAGTTCCTAATATAAGTACATTTTCACTATATCTTGCTTCCTGTTCAGGCAGTTCTGACATAAACATTCTATTACAGACACATTTCAATGCAAGCAAGTTTTCAAATAATGGTACTTACTAATCTGTAGAAGCAGCGAGTATCCACACAACAAAATTGCTGCAAGTCAGTTGAAATGCATGCAGGACATAATGACTGTAATTTCAAGTGATGAATATAAATGGATGCAGCAACACTAATACCCTCTACTAAACAGTGGACATGTTATTCCATCGGACAGTGTAGTACCATCATATTATAGCATTGATAAAAGCAAGGCAAAATGCATCATGTATTGTACTATTGAGGGTGGGAGAATTGCAATGTGGTCTCTTATTAATTTGAGATTTGTGAAGATACTAGTCCAACCTGTGAACATATTAGCACAATCTGTGAATATATTGGCCCAATCTGTGAACAAATTGGTTAATCAGGAAAATACTCAACTTGAAACTACATACTTGTCTGAGGCACCAATACATACCTGTTCTGGATTCTTTCTTGTCTATCACCTGTATGGGTTCTGTTTGTTATCTTACATGGAGAGAAATGTTTGCTGTCAGGTGAATATTGTACATTATATTTGCTTGGAGAAGATTTACAGTTCTGGAATATACTAACAAGCATTCTTTGTTCCCTGTATGGAGTTTTACAAACTATGCCCCTTATATTATAAGTTCATGTTTGCCTAAATTACTTTTGGACTTGTATATTTCACTGTGGAAGTGCTGAATTTCCAGTTGTTGTAGGTGTATTGCATTGAATGCACTTTGTTCTGACTTTGAATGCACTATCTCAAAGAGACTTATGTGGATATTTGGTTGTAACTACAATTGACTCAGCACTCACCAGTCAACATGCCATCGAAAAGGGAGAAAGAAAATAAAAATTAAACACAGATCGATTCAAAGGCATCATCAACCAATCATTAAGTGGAAATATGTTTTTTTTTAGATTTCTGTTGAACTGAATTGGTGTGTCTACCATAACCACAACATAACTTACCTATTTCACAGTTTTCTCCTGAAAATCCAGCAGGACATTCACAATGGAAGGTTCCATCTATCACTAAACAGACTCCTGCACCACAGGGGCTGCCTTGACATGGGCCTGGGACAACTGTGGGAAAAACAGTAAGGCAATGAAGGAGTTATTAACGATTTAACAAACAAGCCCAACAGGCTCTCTTTGAATAGACTAATTATTATTTGAATATAAACACTGCGGCATGGCCCACGACCACCACCAACAACAACCTGCATTTATATAGCACCTCTCACGCGGGGCAGCGTCCCAGAGCAACCCTCACGCGGGGCAGAGTCCCAGAGCACCCCTCACACAGGGCAGGATCCCAAAGCACCCCTCACGCAGGGCAGGGTCCCAGAGCACCCTCATGCGGGGCAGCGCCAGAGCACCCCTCACGCAGGGCAGCGTCCCAGACCAACCCTCACGCGGGGCAGCGTCCCAGAGCAACCCTCACGCGGGGCAGCATCCCAGAGCAACCTTTCAACAATAGTTGAAGCACCATTCAATTCACCGCAACATTGTACGTAGGGTACTCCATCTTCAATTGTAGTCATATTCCCCTTTAATTTTTTATTCCATGAACTAAAGGGCTGGAAGTCGCGGTGCTTTGTAGCGTGTGCCTTGCATAACAAATACATTATGAAGCACCACAAATCTCCCCCAAAATTGACACATTATTAGAAAAATGTTCACATAGCATTTTGAATTATGACCCGGGGGAAAGGAGTGCCTCTTAGCACGGAACTGTTCACCACCTGCAAAAGATAATTAAATGCAATATATTTTGGCCATCCATACCTTCAACTTCCATAGGTTCGACCACAATGTTTGGTGAGACTTGAGGTGGAACAGCTGTAATTGATATTGGTGTAGAAGGGGTAACACCTACTTCTTTGTGAGGTGTCATAATAATAGGTGTCTCTGTTTCACTCAACGTCACACCATCTATCGGGGATAAAGAAGTTTCATCCACTTCATGCAGGATGTCTTCTGGGACAATTGGTACAATCCCTGTTATCTCAATTTCTGATTGTCCAGTGCTCAGTAGTGCAGTGTCAAGTAAAGAGGTGTCCCCAGAAATGGTAGGAATTATATGAAGTGGTGTTCCTGAAGAATCTTCACCAACAATAAATGCTCCTGAAAGTTCTCCACTAATTTCAGGAGCTCCAGAAAGTTCTCCACTAATTTCAGGTGCTCCCAAGGATTCTCCACTTATGTCAATAATCCCAGAAAGTTCTCCACTTAGGTCTTAGGAATTCCAGAATATTCACTGCTGCTTTCAATTATATGAGGGAATTCTTCAATAAGTCCTTTACCTGCTTCCACTTCTGTAATAGTCATTTTGATTTCTTCCAGTTCTGTAGGGACCAGAGTAATGATAGGCAATCCAGAAGATTCCCCACTAATATCAAGCATTCCAGAAGATTCCCCACTAATATCAAGCATTCCAGAAGATTCTCCACTAATATCAGGCATTCCAGAAGATTCCCCAATGATATCAGGCATTCCAGAAGATTCCCCACTGATATCAGGCATTCCAGAAGATGCCCCACTAACATCAGGCATTCCAGAAAGGCTGCCACTAAAATCAATGATTCCAGATGATTCTCCACTAACATCAGGCATTCCAGAAGGTTCTCCACTAACATCAGGCATTCCAGAAGGTTCTCCACTAACATCAGGCATTCCAGAAGGCTCTCCACTAACATCAGGCATTCCAGAAGGCTCTCCACTAACATCAGGCATTCCAGAAGGTTCTCCACTAACATCAGGTATTCCGGAAGGTTCTCCACTAAGATCAGGTATTCCAGAAGGTTCTCCACTAGCATCAGGCATTCCAGAAGGTTCTCCACTTATATCAGGTATTCCAGAAGGTTCTCCACTAACATCAGGCATTCCAGAAGGTTCTCCACTTATATCAGGTATTCCAGAAGGTTCTCCACTAACAGCAGGCATTCCAGAAGGTTCTCCACTTATATCTGGTATTCCAGAAGGTTCTCCACTAATATCAGGTATTCCAGAAGGTTCTCCACTAACTTCAGGTATTCCAGAAGGTTCTCCACTAACATCCGGTATCCCAGAAGGTTCTCCACTAACATCAGGTATTCCAGAAGGTTCTCCACTAACATCTGGTATTCCAGAAGGTTCTCCACTAACATCAGGTATTCCAGAAGGTTCTCCACTTATATCAGGCATTCCAGAAGGTTCTCCACTAACATCAGGTATTCCAGAAGGTTCTCCACTAACATCAGGTATTCCAGAAGGTTCTCCACTTATATCAGGCATTCCAGAAGGTTCTCCACTAACATCAGGTATTCCAGAAGGTTCTCCACTTATATCAGGCATTCCAGTAGGTTCTCCACTAACATCTGGTATTCCGGAAGCTTCTCCACTTATATCGGGCATTCCAGAAGGTTCTCCACTAACATCTGGTGTTCCAGAAGGTTCTCCACTAACATCAGGTATTCCAGAAGGTTCTCCACTAACATCAGGTATTCCAGAAGGTTCTCCACTAACATCAGGTATTCCAGAAGGTTCTCCACTAACATCAGGTATTCCAGAAGGTTCTCCACTAACATCAGGTATTCCAGAAGGCTCTCCACTAACATCAGGTATTCCAGAAGGTTCTCCACTAACATCAGGTATTCCAGAAGGCTCTCCACTAACATCAGGTATTCCAGAAGGTTCTCCACTAACATCAGGTATTCCAGAAGGTTCTCCACTAACATCAGGCATTCCAGAAGGTTCTCCACTAACATCTGGTATTCCAGAAGATTCTCCGCTAACATCAGGTGTTCCAGAAGATTCTCCACTAACATCTGGTGTTCCAGAAGGTTCTCCACTGACATCTGCCTCTGGGAGAGATGTTATCTCAGTAGGGCCTGCTAGAAAACAAAGGGTTACAATGTCAAATAATAAAATAGAGAAGCATTTAGCATTCATTAATTATAGAGCCCGTAATCCTCTTGTATATACTGCATCTTTTGATATCTGGAAATTCCTCCAATTGTTCACCTAGTGTTCCAGCTCTAATAGGATATCATAAAATCATCGAACCATAGAATCATTCAGCACAGGAAGAGGCCATTCGGCACATCTTGTCTGCACCGGCTCCGAAAAGAGCAATCCAACTCAATCCCACTGGCCCGCTGTCTCTCCATAGCCCTGCAATCCTGTCCTCCCCAAATACCCATCTACTTCGCTCTTAAAAGTTGTTATTGAATCGGCTTCCACTACCCTTTCAGGTAATGCATTCCAGATCTGACAACTTGCTGGGGTGAAAATGTTTTCCTAACCTCCCCTCTGTTTCTTTTAACAGCTATTTTAAATCGGTGTCCTCGGGTTACTGACCCACATGCCAGTGGAAACAGTTTTTCCCGGTTCAACCTATTAAATCCTCTCATGATCTTGAAAACCTCTATTAAATCCCCTCTTAATCTTCTCTGCTCCAGGGAGAATAATACTAGTTTCGCTAACCTCTCCTCATAACTAAGGTCCTTCATTCCTGGTTCCATCCTGGTAAACCTCCTTTGCACCCTCTCCAATGCTCTAACATCTTTCCTAAAGTGCGGTGCGCAGAATTGAACACAGTCTCCAACTGAGGCCAAACAGCATTTTATAAATATTCAACATAACCTCCTGACTTGTGTATTCTGTGCCCCTATTTATAAAGCCGAGTATCCCGGATGCTTTTTGAACAGCTTTATCTACCTGTCCTGCCACCTTCAGAGATTTGCTGATGTGGACCCCCAGGTCTCTCTGTTCATTTGCCCCCTTTAAGATTGTACCATCAGCTTATATTGCCTCTCCTCATTCTTCCTACCAAAATGTAGCACTTCGTATTTCTCCACATTAAACCTCATCTGCCACATTTCTGCCCATTTTACCAATTTGTCTAAGTCCTCTTGGAGGCTGGTGCTGTCCTCCTCACCATCAACTACTTTTCCTAGCTTAGTATCATCTGCAAATTTGGAAATTGTGCTCCCTATATCCAGATCCGATCATTAATGTAGATCAGAAAGAACAATGGTCCCAATACTGACCCCTGAGGGACACTACTACACATCTCCCTATGTCATTGAATCAAACATCTAGAAATTGATTATCTTTTAAAAGAAAGATGTTATTATAGCACCAGAATTTCAGGCTCATTATCTCATTTCAGTTTTGATTGGCTGGTTATCTACATGTGTCACAACACATTGTGTGTGAAATACCCTGCCCTGGCTAACACCTGATAAATGGCTGTTTGAGAGTTAAAGGCAAAGCAACCAGTGCCATGGAACTGTAGCTCAAGTTAAATGATACAGAGAGTAAGTTGAGATGTTCTGAGTGTTATAGAAAAAAAACTTTTAGTTATTTCATAATTTCTTATTATTCTTTGTGCTCTGAAATAAATCATATACTCACTGAATTCTGCTGTGGGTGTTAGTGTGACAATGGGCTTCTCCACCTCTTCTACTGTGATATCCTCAATTAAGCTTGCTTCAGTGCTGAACTCAGGAAGCAGAGAAACTGTTGCGTTGACAGGAGGCAACATGTCCACAACTGGTACCAGATGGGTAGCTATCATTTCTTCGGTCACGCCCAGTGTAGCATTGGGCTGCTCTGAAGTGTCCAAGACAAGAACTTCAGACACTCCCCTTTCCACTTCTTCTGGTCTTGATGTCTTTGTTGCTTGGAGCTCAAACTCAGGGGTTGCAGACACTCTGTCCAGCAGAATCACAGGTACAGTGAAGTTCTCAATGACTGTGTCTTCCGTGATCCCATCTACCACAGGAGTGATGACTTGAGCTGAAACAGAAGAGGAAGGCATTGTTTGTATTTGGACAGCTGGGGGAAGTAGATTACGTAAGGTTTGAAGATCCAAAGTTTGGAAGTTACAAACTCATGAGGCTCTGTGATACAATAAGCTAGAGAAGGAGATATAGTGAGTTTTCTTACAAAATATTTTCAATTTTGTCATAAGATGTGAGTGGTTTTGTGCTGTGTGCATTTACATAAACTCATATTAAGTTGAGCTAGATTTGGACTCAATTCTGGACCCAAAAGGACTTCACAAGCCAATAATTGAAATAGAACACCCATGAAGATTTTCACAATCCGCTCTCCAATTCATTCTGTACTTACCTCTAAAGCAATAGACATCATAACGCGACTCAGGAGCAGGATACCCTGTTTGATTGAGATTCAAATAAACAGTTCGGACTCCAATGCGGCCACTACCGCATAAGTGTCTAGGGATCCTGACGGGGTACCTAACGCTGCCATCAGCAAGCCAGCCTGCTCGGCATTTATCCATTCCAAGTTTCCAGGCTGCATACAATTGTCCAGTGCTGGCCATCACTGCGTCATGATCAAGGCAGTAATCACTTGCTTCCTGGTAAGTCAGTCCCCCAGCCACTGCTCCATGAAACACCACCCCTGAAACAAAGCAAAAAATATACTGAAACCTATTCATCATACTATCCCAGTGCCCCCAAAAAGAGTTCAGCTGGGGCATTTTAACCATCAGAAGTGGTTTCCTCATTGATGCTGAGCTTCTTTGAGCAGTGGACTGGTGCTTCTTCAGGGATCAACAAGAAAACTTTGCTTGCAATATTTGATAGTATTTTTCAAATCCTCTTTTAGAGGTTCAAAATGCAATCTAGTCTTCATCTGTAACATTGTTTTGATTTAAAAATTTAAGATCACACAGAATTGTGAAAAAAATGAAGAATGTTTCAATTTTCTAATTTTGGGTGATCTTAAATTTTAAGATAAGGTGATCTTACAACCTAAGATGAGATAAAATTTCAGACCTCTCAGGATAAACCACAGTAATACACTTAAATAGGATCCCAGAGCAGGTCTTCCTTGTTATGATGTTTCTAGATATCTTTTCATACTTACCGTTTAGATTGTCGATGTAGCAGTACACATCATAAGCTTCATCTGGATTTCGGATGCCATAGTTTCTTACCCCGGGGAAACCATCCTTATCACCAAAACACCGGGTCCTTGGGTTCACTATTGGGTATCTAGGAAAGAGAAAATCAGTAGTTTGAGAAAAGAGAAAAAAAATCAGAACAGATACCTTTAAACAGTAGCATTTTGAGGGTTACAATTCCTCAGAATATTACATTATTCAAGAGATTTTTATAGTTTATTTTAAACAAAGCTGATGTTACTGTTTGGTTTACCTGACTGACTGGTCAGAGAGCCAGCCTGCGTCACATTGATTGTATCCTTCATTGTAGGCTGCCTGGAGCTGCTCAGGAGTGGCAATGATGGCATTATTTTCCAAGCAGGCAATTTTGGCCTCGGTGAAGTTCAGGGTGTACCTGCTTGAGACAGCACGGTAATGGAAAACAATTCCTGTTAAGGAACAAATATACTGGTGATTGATCTGTACTACAGGATTGGTAGCAGAAAAAATAGGGGAAAGGTTAGTTGGAATTTTTTTCACTTAGAGGGTTGTTAGGGAGACAAATTCACTACCACATGTTGAGGCCGGATCAATGGAATCATCCAGAAGTGAACTATATAACTACCTATAAAATATAACGACCCATAAACTACCTAGAGTATAAAATATTAAGGTAACTATGACTCTCCCAGTCTCTTACATTAAAATGATATTGATAAAAAAGGGTGATTTAGAAAAACGGGAGCAGTCGAACAGACTGGATGAGTTGAACGCCATTATGGTGTGCTGACTTAATATCAGATATGAAGCATACAATGTGGAATGGGCCCTTCACTGTACACCACTACAATTGTCTTAATGGAAATAAATCACATAAAACAATGTATAACTAAAGGATCACATTATAGAAAAGACTAGGGTGATGGTAAAGACATGGGATTGACCTGATGGAAAACAAATTCAAAGAAAATGGGCAGACTAATAGGAGAGAAGTTATCTGTGCCTAGTTTGGCAATGATCGTGAAACATAATCTAAGGATATGATCCAACCCCAGCAATAGCACTGTATGCAGAATATCTTTCTGAAAGATTGTTCCCGGTGCTAAGAATCAGACATTACAATCAGAATTTCTGTTTTGTGTAAGCAGTGCCTGGCTCATAACAGTTATAATCATAGTTGTAATAATCCTTACATTTGAAACCAAACACCCATAACATTGAAACGTTTCAAAGGGCTGTACAGGGAATTGCTGGGAATTATAGTGACTGTATTAAATCACAATACTTTAACAAAATCTCTGACTATGAATTGTTAGTGGAAGTTGATTGCTGTGTGGAAAATAACGACTCTTGTTTACAATATGATAATAATAATCCTTGTATTTGCTACAGGGTTTTTTATCATGCCATTGAGAAGTCTCAAAGCACTTCTCAGGATTTATTGTAAAATTATGTTGCTGTGTGCATTTTTATAGGTGAATGTGAAGCCAATTTGAGCACAGCAATGTTGCACAAATAGTTAAGGCATCAGGTTTGGCTAATTTTGTTCGGGGGATTGTTGGCCAAGACACGATAATAAACTCCCTTCTCTTTTAAATAGTGCCATTGGATCTTTAACATCCAACTGGGCAGGCAGACATTAGCAACAGCTTGCAAGCAAGAGACCCAGGTTTGGTTCCTTGTAGTACGAAACGTTGGGCAAGTTTCCTTACTCCACACACCTCTGTTTGTCTAGAAATAAGTAAAAAATTGGTTGCTAGTTGATTGGCGGATCGCTTTTCCGGGGGTAATAATTCCTTCCAAAAAAAATTATAATGACAAATTCATGACTGTTTGTGGGACACTGCTGTACACAATTGGCTGCCACGTTTTGCCCACAAAATATACAGTCAATTCATTTTACAGTATATTCTGTGAAGCACTTTGAGACGTCTCAAAGATGTGATAAGGCGCTATATCAAATGCAAGGATTATTATTATCATTATAATGTTTTGTGCTCCTGTTTGTAAGTAACAGAATTGATTATATGATGGTCTACTGCAAGGATGGGACCATTGGTTATTTGTTATTTTACGCATGCAACCCAACATTACTGTGCTAATTTCTAACTGCTTGTAAACTGTTCTGTACGTTTCTTTGCTTTCTCCTTGGAATCTCTCACTTCATAAATCTTGTTAAGAGACCTTTAATGTAGCAGCTTTCACATATATAGCATCAGTAGGTTTCCCTTGTTTACACTGGCCCTCAAGAGATAAACAGTTTTAAGAAGTACTTATATTCTTCACAACATCACCACTTACCAGTTGGAGATATTGGGCTAAGAGAAATGCTTGATTCTGATGTTGAGCTTTCTTCCATAACATCTGGGGTTATTGTCACTTCTGCAGAACTTGTTGTTAATCCCTCAATGGTGCCTGCAGTTGGCACTAAAGCCTCCGTTGTTACTTCTACAGAGGTTCCGAGTCCTGTGACCATGAGTTCTTCGGTGACTGGTGCTATTGTTCCAGGTGTACTGATTTCCTGAATAACTGTTATGTTTTCGGGGATTATTGAGACTTCAGTAACAATAATTTCTGCAGTGACAGATGGCATAGAAAACTCAGAATCGGTAACATTCATAAAGTCTTCTTCAGTCTTTGGTGTGAGGCCTTCTGGGAACAGCGTGGCATTGAGAACCTCCGTTTCGGCCTGCTCAGTGAGCGAGGGAGTTACTGTAATAATGTCAAAAGGGCTGAGAGTAATAATTTTGCCTAGGGCTTCACTGTCTGTGGTGATTTTTGGGAAGAAGGGCTCTACCTTTTCAGTTATGGTTTGGACTGTGAAGAGTGCACTGCCTTCGTCACTAAATGCCTCGTCTGGTTCTGTAGCTGGGTATATTTCAGTAAACGCTTCCACATCAGGAGTTGCTATTGAAAAATAAACATACTGAAAAGGTTACCAACCAAAAGAAGACTAAATATCCGTACAGTTCACTTGCTTGGGGCTCTACTGCAAGGTTCTTTCAAGGTTACGGTTACAGGTTACTGCATAACAAAGCAGCATAAATGCTAAACTACATAAAACTTAAAAGATTATTACAATATCATAATACTCCTGCATGTAATATTGTACCTACGATGTCCAAATAATCTCAGAGGTAATATCAAGTGTAGTAAGTGTAGGCTCAGCTCCAAGGCACCCCGTGGTTGAATAACCCACTGAAATCACTGAAACGCTTCAAACTTGAAGAATATCCAGTTGGGTGAGATACTGAAAGGTGCCCATCATCCATGGAAGTGTCCTCCAATACTGGGACAAGGTCAATATTTCCTAGTAGAGGAGGTATCCAGAACTCTCTCTAATTTTGATTGGATGAGAGAATACACCTTTATAAACAGTTATCTCCACAATAATCCAACACAATACTATGGTTGACCATCTTGCCTGACTCTTCAATGAAATTTAGAGATATAGATCATGGAGTCCTGTAGCTCAGTGGTTAGAGCACTCGCTTTGCAAGTGAGAGACCTGAGTTCAATTCCAGGCAGAGGGCGAAACCCAATAGAGTTCTTAAGATGTACCAGGATTCTTACAACAAACTATTTCCAAATAATTTCTCCAATATCCCAACTTCAATGTTTCTGAAAGCGATTGTAAGCATTCTCTTATATGTTGAGATTGGAGTGAAATTTGCCAAGTTTCATAACACGTTCCTTGTGGATAATTTCACAAGGAATACTTTATGAAATATCACAAGCTTCACCCTATCTTCTTTCATTGTAAATTATTTTAGCGAAGCATAATGAGGGGAGGGGATTCTAGTATTCCTAAACATAACTGAATTACATAACTTAATTATCCTCCATGATCATTAAGGAATATAATGTGTTTAACAATAGCTCATTATTTCAATTTGTGTTGAAAGTTGATACCACTTACCAGAGAAGCAGTAGGCATCATGCCGGGAAAGGGAGTTAGGGTAACCAGTCTGGTTGGCGTACTGGTAGACAGTTCTCACACCTATCAGGTTCCCGCCACAATTCGGTCTTCGCTTAGAAATTGGGTAACGAACACTGGCATCGGCAAGCCAACCTGTGTTGCACTGATCCATGCCGTCCTTCCATGCCAAATATAGCTGCCCTGTGGTGGCCAAGCGGGCTTCTTGTTGAAGACAGGCATCAGCAGCTTCCTTAAAGGTAAACTTTTCAGGGCTTGTTACATAGAAGACAATACCTAGAGACAGGAAAGAGAATGACATTACTTATTAAACAGCCTTGAATTAAAAAATCCTTTCTGCAACATATATGCAATTTCCAGTGCTAGATTAGGTTCTCTCTTTTTTCCATTATAATTTTGAATGAACTTCTTACCAGTTATTTCTTTTGCAAAACAATAAACATCATAAGTTTCATTTGTGTCTCTAATTCCATATGATCTGACTCCTGGATGCATATACAAGTTGCCGAAACAACCCTCTCGTGGTTCATGAATTGGGTACCTAGAAAAATAATTTGAGGAATACATTCAGCTGTTGTTAACAAACTTATAATTTTCTATAATTACTAAGTTCTGTTGTAAAGATTTAGGATGAGAAAATTGTGAATCCGCTATATTCCTTTCTTCTTTTCTATCTAGAGGCTCGGAAGGGCTCAGCTGTTATGTCCTCAAATACCTTCTCTGTCTAATCTCACACATAAGAATGGCTCTTTGGGTGAGTGTCAGAACAGCCTGAGGATGTGGAACTATACCCCAACATGAGTCGTCATTTTCAAGACTGGGGTGAGGAAAGTACAGCAGGATTCTGTTACTTTATGTTGAAAACCTGGTTGTATACGTTACATTCTTGTTTAGTCTTCCAAGGTTTACTTGCCACAGACCATAAAATAAAGAACTTGCAAAATCTTGTGGGCAAAATGTAGAATTGATCCAGACCTTACTGTTTGATCAGCCAACCAGCCAGCATCGCACTGATCATAGCCATCTTCATACGCTGCCAGCAGTTGTTCTGGGGTTGCGATTGTCGCAGTGTTGTCAATGCAAGCCTGCTGGGCTTTGTAGAAGTTCAGAGTGTATCTGCTGGAGATCGCACGATAATGGAAGACAACACCTAAAGTCAAAAGTACAAAGGTACGATTGCCAAACATTAATTAGGGTTAACTTAGATTTATATAGGGTTCAAGCTAATATTGCGTCTGGGTAGGAATTCACATTGAACAAACCTATAAAATTACATAATAATCATAATAAAAATTGTATTTGACATAGCGCCTTATCTCATTGTTCGCTTCACAGGATTTCACTATAGAGTGATCGTGTATTTTGCATGTGAACCTGGCAACCAAGTTGCACAATAATGATCCACAAGCTGTCATAAATTGTCTGACTAATTTTTATTTGCTGGTTGATGGCCAGGAGACAAGGAGAAACTCGCTTTTCTTTTCAAATAGTGTCATGGGATCTTTAACGTCCAGCTGAACAGGCAGGAATACTGGGAAATTTCTATGCTCTTCTTCCAAACAGTTCCATGGAATCTTTAAAGTCACCATAACAAGCAAATATGACTTATTTATTGTCTAATCTAATGCTGTACAGCAATCCATCACTGGAGTGTCACTGTATATTATGAATTCAAGTCATAGTGTGGGATAAAATTATGGCACATTCCACTGCTGATAAGAGGAAATATTTTGGTAAACTAAGAAACTTAATTTAGTAGATGGTGGGAAGATGGTGGGATGGATATTCTGGAAGGATGAGATCAAATGGCCCAAAGGGCATTCTTTACTCAAACCTCTCTTATGATACATTGATTGCAAACTCGAGGATAAATCCATTATCACCTGAAAATTTACCTTTAACATCCAGCTCCACAGTATCCTGGCTGTCTTCGATGCCATACATTACTTCACAGCGGTAGATTCCTGAATCACTTGACTTGAGCGTATCCAGCTCCAATGTGGCATCACTGGGGATTTCTTGGTAGCTTAACAGCTTAACTCGTCCTTTGTATTCTTGGCTAGTCTTTACTTTCCCAGAAGTGGCAACTAAAATGACTGTTTCTTTCCCTTTACTTGAGATTTTGGTCCATTTGATTCTCGGAGTTAGCAGAGATGCCAACTGGATATCTGGTGAGAGTGGTGTTGAATTGATGAAGTAGCAGGGAATAGTCACAGAGCTTGCTATAACAGCCTTCACTGGAGAGTGGGCAGCAATCTTCACACTCAGTGCCTTATCATTATCTGTCAAAAAGGAAAAACATATTTAATCTCAATTTATCCCTTGGACGTCAAAGGTATGAATTAATTTTGTTCCTCCCTTTTATAACCAATAGGTTTTTTAAATCCAAGCTTAGTGTAACCAAACACTACTCATCCATTTGTCTATGTTTTTCTCCTACTCTTTACTACTTTGCTGTGGGACTCAGACCCTTCATATACGAGTACTAAAGAACAAAAAAAAACAAAGACCAACTTGACTGTGAAAGATCTTACCAGAAACTTCAACAGAAATAGTTGCTGCAATGACACGCAGACACACAAGTACCAAAAGCAGAGTGGTCATAGTTTACCTGCAAAACAGAAAACAAGAAAGAAGTATATCTTGTTAAAACGAGTGCTAATAAAATATAGCGCCTACAAGGTCTAAAGACCTGAAAGTGCTTCACAAGTTATTATTATCAAATATAGTGACTGTATTTGCAGGCCAATGCAGCTCACAGTTTTGCAGACAGCAGGATTACACAAACAGCAATGAAGTGAGTGTCCAATTTATCTGGAGGATTTTGGCCAGGGCTCCAGAAGAAACTCCTTTTTCTTTTCAAATAGTATCATAAGATCTTTAACATCCTCGTGAATAACTAGTTGGTTACCTCAGATCAATGTCACATCCAAAAGACAGTACTTCTGACAGTGCAGCACTCTGCCAGTCTACTTGAAGTAAAATTATTATTTTAAAAATGTAACCTCCCCATTTACTTTCTTGTTAACTATCTTAAATTAGGTACTCTATTCACTGACTCACGAACCAGTGGAAATAATTTCTCCTTATTGATTCTATCAAAACCCCTCATAATTTTTTGGGGTTAGCTCAGTGTCACATATGTGGAAACCCATCACCATGTTTAAGAGTATCCAAACCAAATCAAGAGTTCCATGCATCTCATGTACACATGAGAATTCAGGGTGTTATTTATTGGAATGTAATTGTACTCTTTTCCTGGAGGGAAGCATCCTGCTTACCCAATTCTAGAAAGTATTAGGTGCAGGTTGGCAAGATCCAAGGCTCATATTTTAAAGACCTTCAGCCTTCTTTGTTCCAAATCTGTACTAGTTAGTGTTTATCTTGTAAATATGATGACCTGTACAAAATCATTTTTTTGTGTGGAATATATAAAATACAAATTTACATTTATATGGTGAACTTGATGCTCGTGGTGTGAACCAATTTTTTCTGGTTTGTTAGCACGGTTAGCTCAGGCTGAGATGGTTTGGTGTTAAGCTCCAAATGAGCAGTTTAATAGTGAAGAGACTGCACTGAAAATGTGTTCACCCTTATAAATAGGCAACAGACTTATTTCAACAAATGGGATAAAGAACATTCTGAGCAATGAATACTTTCCTAGAGTGAATGTTTGTGCTGTAATGGAATTATAGATAACACAGCTCTGAGCAAATATAGTGACTAGTATATTTATACAGTTCCTAACAGGAGATTCTTTCAAGATCCCGGAGATGTTTGCCACTCTTTGGCATGCCAGCGCTCCAAAGAAACATGCTGGGAAGTGTATACATTTCCAAAAAATCTTCAGTGTCCTTAATAACCTCTTTCACAGTGGGGGAAAAGATTGCAGATGTCAAAGACCTATTTGCAGAACGTGTTAGAGAAAATAGAAACTCTGTAAAAGGAGCCTTGGTGGGACAATTCTGGGCTACATTACCTTTCACATCTCCTCTGACCTCTTTCAATGTAATTTTATCAGAATCTCAACTCTGAATGGATCATAGTGAACTTGTTGGAGGGTGAAGACTGGGGTTTAGCTTCAATGCCATTTTAGTAATAATAATATAATAATAATTTTGTACGTGTTGAGATCACATGGACCTCACTTTATTTTTGCCTACTCTCCCGACAATCTATGGAGGTAGCAGAGGATATTTGGTTATATGTTCAGAAACACTCAGTCTGTGATGGCGAGTCAGCCCCTGATCTGTCAGATGTGCAAAGGCATTGTTACACACATAAATAGGCACAGATGCAAACAAACAGTCGTGTATACAACAGCCGCAAATTTCATAACATACAATATTTCCATCACAACTAGAAACAAAACCTTTTTTTTAACCTGTCACGGTACTTTGAAACCTTGTTTTACCATAAGGTTTCGTTTTGCGAATAACTCTGTTTAATGTAGTAATTACTGGTGTGCGATAGCGATTGACATAGAGACACACAACTGGAGTCAAGCAGGTCTACTTCTGCACGAAGGTCTGGCTTCTCCACTCACTCCTCAGCACTGCTGGAACAAGATCTCGCACTCACTGTCTCGAGTCAGTGCCATCCTGTTATATACAGTACAATACGGCCAACACATTTGCGTACACATCGGCATTTAGGAACACATAACAAACTGCATTATGAGCTGAAAATACCACTTCTCTCAAAGCTGAACACTGCTGGGACATTGTGTGTCGGCAGACTTGTTGATGATGTTTGGAGTCATAGCTGACCGTTCTGCCAACCTGCTCTGCTATTTTATTAGATTGTGGCAAATTTTAAAATCTGATTTCACCACTTTTTCCTCATACTCTTAATAGTCTACGGTCAATTTTAAACATCCTAAATGATTCTGCTTCTTCAGCCCGTTTGAAGAAATGTTTCCTCATCTCACTCGTAACTATCAGCTCTAATTAGAAAACACACAGCACGGGTTAATTGCTGCCATACACCCAGGACCCTCCAGCCTGTGCCTCTGAGGCTGGTGGTGATGCCCGGAGTCTACAATGCTACAGACAAGACCTATGGATTAGGTCGTGCAGTGAAACAGGAGAGTGCTATGACCACTGGGGCGGGGATCAAGTCAGCTTGCACTTTCCTTTAGAATCTTACATCCACATAAGAAGGCTTTCTATACTGAGCCCAATGAGCCGAGTGTGACAGCCCCAATTGTAGAATAAATATTTGAAGGTTTCAGTGCGGAGGTGCAGTGAGCACAGCTTCCGCTGCTCTGTGCTGAGCAATACAGAGACTCGGTGCGGTGAGGCTTGGCGTGAAGTTCAAGTAAATAAATACTTCTGTGTATTTCATGTTTTTCCAGCTGCTCCAGTCAAAAAATTACACTGACTCTTTGCTCATTTTGTGGGAACTTATGGATGTGTTTTAAATACTGGTTCTTTATGCAATTTATTTATTGTTCGAAGCCACAGCCAGGAACATAAAACAAGAATTTAATGCTAAATGGTTGCAATTCACAAGGAAGCTCTGTAGAAATTGAACCCAGTTAAATCTAACAGTGCTTCATCGATACCATACTTTGCCACTATTATCAGTTCTATTCTTGAGTAAATTCAGCAATGCTCTTCCGTCGTTTTAAATGAAATTAACATAGTTAGGAAATTAAATATCAAGCTTGCTATTGAGCAGTATTCCATCCTCTTTTAGCTCATATATTTAATGATAGCCATTATTTTTAACGTTGAAAAGTTATTATAATTCTCTACTCCCTCCTCCAATTTGTGCTCCCCTCTCCTTGAATTGCTGGCTAGTACTGCAAGGTTTATTCTAGTACCAGGGTGTAGGTCGGCAGTCACCAGCCGCCCTCCAGCACTTTTTCCACACGTTCCTTCAGCACAAGTTCAAAGCAGTCTATGAAGCAGTGGAGGCCAATAATATCTTAATCGTAAATCGATGCGTGTATACCTTCCATTGGGGTTTATTGGATAGTGAACAATTATTTCCCTGGTTGATTATCCCCCCAGCTAACCAGCAGTGCAGAAAGAGCATATGAATGCTTATGTTGAAAACAGGATCACAATTAGTTGCCCCCTACTGTCAGTTGACACTCTGGTTTCACACATGAAATGTGCCCATGAAACGTTTACGTCCTATGCTCAGGGAACCATACCGAAATATAAGCCAGTGCCTATCAGAGAGGTGTAGGGTAAAAAAAATTATCCACGGAAACCAGGAAACATAGGGACAGTCTGAGTCTGGTTATTAATAATAATCCCTCCAAAACCAAAAACAATAAATAATTGGTCATTTTCAATCTACGACTGTTTGTGGGACATTGCTGTGCGCAATTGGCTGCCGCGTTCGCCCACAAATATACAGTCAATTCACTTTACAGTGTGTTCTGTGAAGCGCTTTGGGACGTCCTCCCGACGTGAAAAGCGCTATATCAAATGCAAGGATTATTATTATTATTATTATTATTATTGCACAGTGTAAAACGTGATACTTAGCTTTTATAATGATCATAGAAGGTTCGTAGAAATAATTTAACTTTAATCTTGCCCAGATGTGATCAGAATTCCTGCTCCCATGGTAAAAGCAAATACAAATAAGAGGATTGTTCATGTTGCAAAGATTCCGAACTCAGAAAACTATTATTTAATTTTTCATGAACAGAAATGTTGGGCAAACTTATTTTTTTTGTTTGCAAACAGGGTGTCATTGAAACACACGTGTCACAACATGATAGAAATAACACATGGCTCTTTTCCAAACAAAAACACTGTTTGGTGAGCGCATAGCCTTTTCAACTGGGACTCTAAAATTGCTAGAGATTACCATGGACACCCCTTTTCACCACTGATCAAATGAACTATTCAAAAGCATTTTATGTAAGAAGTCAATCTGGCTATGCCCCGCACAGTTCAGGAAGCCGCCCTTCGGGGAGAAAGTGCGCATTCCATTCCAATAAATACCTCTGGAATTTCCATGTATCTGTGGGATCCATAGAACTCTGTTTGGTTTGGATACTCTTAAGCATGGTGATGGGTTTCCACATGTGTCAGACATCTGGCTGACCAAAAGCAATCTGTAATATCCACCTGAATGGGCAGGTGGAACTTTGGTTTAAAAGTTTCATCCAAAACATAAATTATGAATGCAAAATCAGTAACTATATCTGATGGACCAATGTGAGATTCTCCTCTTTGAAAAGAGGAGTGATTATCTTTTGAAATCTTTAAATACCAAAAGAGAAAACTGATGTCTGTAAATGCAGAATATTCAAGGCTTTGCCAGCACAGCAGCGACTAATTCTATAATAATTCTTGCATTTGATCTAACACCTTATCACGTCTTCGAGACATCTCAAAGCGTTTCACAGAATATCCTTAAAGTGAATTGACTATACAGTTTGTGAGAGAAACGTGGCAGACAATTGTACACAGTAGTGTTGCACAAACAGTCATGGATTGAGTGACTAAATTATTTTTATCTATTTGAAAGGAACTATTACCCCCAAAAAAGCTATCCACCTATCGACTGACAACCGGGTTCCTACTTACTGCTAGGTAAACAGAGGCATATGGAGTAAGGAAACTTGCCCAATGTTT